AAACTGTTGCATACGCGCACATATCTATACAGAATACACACAGATAGATACAAAGATATCAGGACTAAAGTTAAATGGCAGAGTTCTTGAGCTGAAATAACATGTACCCCACAAGTGCCACAGGGGGCGCTGGGATTCTACGAATCCTTCCTAAACCCTAAACGCTAAACCGTCTGTCTTGTGAGGGTCCTGGCATGAATCCTAAACCCCAGCACTGTAGAATCCAAGGCCCGACACGGCGTAGGGGGCCTTAAGAATTAGAATACGGCTCCTTTAAAAAAGGGTACTATAGGGGCTACTATACGGGATCTATGAGGGTACTCTGATAGGGGCCATAATAAAGAACCCCCCCTCGTAGTATAGGTACTTATTAAGGCCTAAAGTCGGGTCCCTTTCACACAAGGGTGCCAGACACCGGCAGTTGAAGCTGATCAAGACTCATACAGTGATTCACGGTAAAGTCCTGACAACTGGGTCTGTTTCGTTTCATTGTTTCCCGCTTACAAGATTCGAAACACATGCTCGCAGTATCAACTCTGCAACTTAATCCCAAATCATCCCAACTTGTGAGACCTCGAGCATTTCCGGCCCCCAAATCCTAAGCCTTAGACGCCTGAAGTCTTTGAACCGTCACGTCCGGCCTGGCTTGCAGATGCTGAGTGCACTTCTTGAGAAGGCCACAGGAGCAGAGACTCCATTTAAGTCATGAAGGCCTCATTATTTGCGATGTACAGCAGTTCCCATAAAGTTGGAAACCGGATTAAGGCCAAATAGTGCTGGGATTCCCGCTGCAATACTCTTACGGATTGAGGCTGCTGGGTTTCCAACTTTTGGGCTTCTACGATAAATTTCCACGAGGTCTTACAAAGACTTACCGGTTATAAGCTGCAAGATCACAGCATGGAATCTTTTGATATACTTTCATGTGTATTCCTCTGCAACATACAGCAAAGGCCTTGTAAAACTCTACGACATCAAACCCGAACCCTAAAATCAATACCCTAATCCCTACACAATGACACCATTCATGTTCAGAATCTTTCGTGACTAAAGAACCTTATACTTTCAAGGGGCTTGGAGTCTCTGCATAAGCCAGACCTTCCAAAATTCGCTTCATTGAGGAGCAATTATTCTTTAAAGCACCTTATGGATCCTACTATACCCATAGGCCTCATAGTAGTTCCTTTTGGGGGTTCATATTTAGAATTCTATAAGGAAATCCCAGAAAGGAACTACTATGAGGCCTATGGGTAGGTTCAGGTATATGCCAGAATTTAGGGAGTTTGGAAGGTCTGGGAAGCCGGCTCGTCACACTGGCAAATGTATATTGAGTCTATTGCGGGGTCGGAGCGTCACTGGAGCAGGATGTGTTTCGCGGTTTCGAGCTGAGGGCTTTGGGGGTTTCAAGCTAACTGGGGATGTTTGAGATTCAGACCAGCTGATAAAACGGTCTCTGAATTGGGGGGTTTCGAAGACTTTTGAACCTTTAAACCTTGTCCCTCAAAGCAGAGTTCAAGGAATTTTACGACTGTTCATAGGGCTGTGATCCAGTAAGAGTGGTTTAGCTGCTTTAAGTGTACCAGCTAATTAAGCACTATACGGTATACGTTCAATCGCAACAAAGAACTCTCTTTTTATGTCAAAGAACCTGTTCAAGGGATATCGGGCATATCGGGCTCTCCGAGACAAGAAGAGTTGATGGGAGGCTTTAAAGGGAGGCAACACACGTTTGGGGTTGATATACAGCTTAGGGGCTGAGTAGCCTAACCCAAAAAAGGTTAACCTTGTCAACTATGGTAGAATTATATAAACCCCAAAAGGTTAAAGGCTACCTACTCAGCCACTAAGAAAGGGATTCGAGTAGAGGCGCCACTACTACAACAAGTGCGGTTCCATAGAGGCCCTGCGGCATGAGGGGCACTGCAGGCTCCAGGAGAAAAAGCCATAAGCCGGTCTCCTACAATCTTATTACACCCCACAACATCTTTAAGCAAAAACCAAACCCTAAACCCTAAAGCCCTATACACATCTTATAACAAATCTACAGAACATGTTTCAACAGCCCACCGAATGATGCAGAGCTCTGAAGTTGGCCAACCAAAACAGAGCAACCCGCGTACCGGGTTCCCAGTGCCGATGGACAAAATCCAGCATTAGGCTTAAGAAGGTGGGTGTTTATTAGGGCTTGGGCATTGGGGTTTAGGGCTCTAAGATGTAGGCGTGGAGGTTTCGGTTTCATAACCGTACTCCCGTCGGTGGACTTCCGCAAGGTGCTTTGCAGAATTGTGTCCATCAGCCACATAGGGACTCCCTCGCTAGAACTGTACATGAAATGCTGTGGAGAGCCACTCGGATTCACTGCTTCTGGACATGGCATTAGGTTTTGTATGGTATAGGCATTGGGCTTAGGGTTCATTTCAGGGTTCCTATAATTATAATGCTACTATAAGGTTTAGGGGCTTAGCGTTTAGGGCTTGGGGTTTACGGTTGAGGGTTTAGGTTTAGGGCTTGGAGTTCAGGGTTTAGACAGCATCAAACCTTTGCTGCGCGGCAAAGGTGTTCCCAGCAAGGCCACTCGCCGAATGAATCGGCTGACCCTGCATCCTAGCAGTCATCCGATAGTAACCCCACAATAGGAACAACCCTAAACCACCTTTCGGAAATTCTTGCCAAGGCTCCCAAAAGAAGTTCGCAACCTTTACTCGGTAAATATTCGGCTACTTGCTATACCATGGTCTGCGCTCCTCAAACCCTATGCTGCTGAACCAGGCCCTGCATATAATACTCATTGCTGAGTCCGGCTGCTGATCTCGGATCCCCAGTAACCTAGCAAAAATGAGGGCACCCGTTGTTGAATTGGTATTGGGTAGTTGTCTAAGGAACCAAAGCCCACCAAGAGGGAAACTGGGCCAACGGCGCATTCATGTACCTACCTATAGTCTCTGTTGTGTTTCCTTGAGTTCCCTTGTTTGGGTTACCTGATAGGACCGTAGCTATAAAACTGGGTTAACCAGAAAAAGGAACTACAATGGAGACTATAGGTAGTGAGTCATCATCGGAACTGGGGTTGACGAAGGGTTTTCCAAGGCCGCCCTTCTCACGCAAATCAGAAGTAGACCTCAAAAAAAGTTTCAACAATCAGACTAGTCTGGGTTGCCTGAACTAAACGGTTTAGGGTTTAGGGAAATCCCAATCCTTCAAAACAAACCTCGCACTCAAAACTCTGCACCCAAACCCTGGACAGTTTTTATAAGGCCCAAACCCCAAAGCCCTTAACTGAGGGGCTGAGTACGCCAGCCCACAAAAGGATAACCTTTTCAATTATGGTAGGATGATAAATCCCCCACAAATAAAGGTTACCTACTCAGCTACTACGCTTGCTATGCCTACTAACATCTATAAGCCCTAAACCCATACCCTGAAGTCCTTAAAGTCCATAAAGCCTCTACAGTCCATAAAGTGCCTAAAGTTAAAATCCTTAAATTGAAAAGGGCAAGCTGGAATCCTCGGGCTCTTCTGGCCCTCCCTCTTCGAGGCAATGGCTCTCCACCATCACCTTCGCCTGACGCTTGGACTCTTTCTCCTGTGAGGCAAAACGGCTTCAGGATTTTAATTACGAAGGTCTAGGGGATCGAAGACCTCGGGTTGAGGGCTTAGGGTTTCGAGTTCAGATTTAGGGTTTAAGGTCTATAGGCTTTAGCATTCAAGGTCTAGGGTTCAGAGGTCCGGGTTTAGGGCTTAGGGTTGAGGGTTCAGACTCTGTTCTGGCTTTATGGCTCATAGTACGGGCTTCAGGGTTTTCAGGTTAAGGGTTTGCGCTTCAGGGGTTGTCAGGTGTAGGGCTCAGGAATTTTTCGATCTACGAAGTTGGAAGTTTAATGCCCTCGTGCCGTAACAACCAACTGTAGTAATTCATCAACTACAGGCACCACCCGCAACATTCAGCGCTCTTCCAACCAATTGCCAGGTGCGGCAGCGTGAGTAGATGTTGGGGTTCGCGGCCCTAAACCCTAAACCCAACCGTGTTGGGCCAACCCTCAATGGTTGATCAGAAGTACAGCTACACCACAAGCACTTGTTGCCTGTCCTGGCAAAGAGGCTCATCGACGTGGTTGAGGATAAGCTCCTCATGCTCCCCAGCGCCTTTGTCCTTAATGCGTCTGGGCGCGGTGCTTAGGCTTGGGGATTTAAAAGTTAGAATTAAAGGTCAATATAGACCTTGATTAGTAGTTGATCTCCTTTTTCTTGAGGGCTCCATATTCGGATGCCGTATTATAACCCCGTGCCCTGGGGCTGGGCTGGGCTGCTGGGCTCGGGCTAGTTGAGGATCTTTTCTTTTTTGTTTTTGGGGCGGGCTGGACCGGGCTGGGGCTGGGGCTGGGCAGGGCAGGGCTGTGCTAGCGGGCGCTGGATTGGGCAGCTGAGGCTGGCGGGCTGGGAGGCGGACTAGCACGGCTTGGAATTGGGGGTGGATTTCCTTGCACACGTTTAATGACACTTCGAAATTAATGAAAAGGCAGTTCGATGCGAAACCTACACGACTTGTATTTGTTTGCGTTTTGAAGGTTTAGGGTTACGGGATTTAGGGTTTCGGGTGAAGGGATATCAGGATTTAGGGTTTAGTGTAAATCTATGAGTGTCTGCAAGCAGAACGACCTCCTGTCAACCCCTTGATTCAAGGACTTGCGTCGTCCGAAGGCACATGTGTTTTGGCTTCAGCAAAAAGACCGTCGCGAGTCTTCAGAAGCCCTTAGTTCTAGATTGGTAGCGGAGCTTCGGCTCGCTGCCGGGGCTCGTTTTCTGTAGTTGCGGTTTTGACCGTCTTCCGCATGAGTGCTCCTCGTCTTGAGACGTTTCTAGATGGCGGTGATGTCCCCGCCCCCGAAGACGATTCTCCGCAGGGTGATAGTGATGGCGGTGACCGTGATCGCGCAGGCCGTGTTCCCGAGCAAGTTGTCCGTGACGATCGTGCTTGGGCTGATGAAGACAGCGCCGACCATTCGTGGCGCGACGGGCGCACCAGTCCATGGAATACCTGGAATGGAGGCCAGCACAGCTGGTGGGGACATTCCTGGCAAGATGGCTCTTGGAGAAACGGCTACTGGGTAGCCAACTCAAGAACATCATGGGACTGGAACAGACAGCAGAGCCATGGAGATACCTGGACTACAGGTTCTACGGGGCCTGGCTCTTCCGGCAGTGAACCTGCCGCTCCAGTGCGAAGCCAACGAGACCTACCTCGCGAAGACGATCCTCCCGAATGCGATGAAGATCACGAGGACGGTCGCCACCCCTCTTGGTGGAATGAGGATCCGCCCAAGGCAGAGCGCCGTGAGCGCCCTTCGAAGGCAAGCGTTGATGAAAGTGTTCGCGGGCCTTCGGAAAAGATGACAGTTCCTTCTTTTGCTGGTGTCATCGAGGGCGAAGCCGAGGATTTGGGAGCGAGCGCTCGCTCTTACTTGCGCCAAGTCAGCGCTTGGCAGCGGATCACACGTGTTCCGAAGGAGAAGCAAGGAATCATCCTCTACCAGAACCTTTCCGGAAGAGCATGGATCGAGGCAGAAGGCCTCGACGTCGATCGGCTTGCAAGTGCCGACGGTTCCAACTACTTTGTCGACTGGGTGAAGGACCGATATTTGGACGTTCAGGTGACCCAGGTCGGCCGCGCCTTGTCCGATTTCTTCAGGCGCCTCAAGAGGCGGAATGGCCAGGCCATCCGCGACTACGTGGGCGAATATGACCGCGCTCACGCGCGGCTCCTGGAATGCGGGTGCAAACTACCAGACATTGCAGCTGCTTGGGTGTTCATCGACCGGATGTGCTTGGAGGAGGCAGCAGAATTGAATCTGCTAGCCTCCGTAGGCAATGTCTACGATCTTCGAAGACTACAACAAGCAGCTATAGTGCAAGACCGTGCACTCCGCAAGCCCTGGGAGACTACCAAGAACGACCGTGGAAACAGATGGTGGCTTCGCTCCAAGCCCCAATCGGCTCTTCTTGCCGAGGTACCTGAAGGCGAGGAGGCTTCTTCACAATGTTCCGAACTACCTGAAGATGACTGTGTACCAGAAGAAGTAGCCATGAACCTCTACGACGCCTTTATGACGCATGAGTCTGCAAAACATCAATACAGAGCCTCCCTGAAGATGAGGGGTTCAGATCCTGATGCTTTGAGGTCCATAGCGGCCGAGAAGCTCGCCGCAGCCAAAGCGCGCTCCTACTGTTCCAAGTGCAAGCGAAAAGGGCATTGGCACAAGGATGCCATTTGTCCCCTTAACCAGGGGACGGCAGCAGCAACTTCGATCTCCGCGACCTCGGGATCAACCACAGCCCCCTCCTCTGCAAGCGGCGGGCCTGCAAAGACTGCTTATCCTTGCACTCATGTGGTGCATGTCACCTGGGACCTGGAGACTGATCAGGTGCCCCAAGGACTCACAGCGATAACAGATACTGCCTGCTCCAAGACCGTTGCAGGTCTTCCATGGATCGAGAAGTATGTCAACGAAGCGCAGGCCGTGGGCTTCTCCCCGCCCTTTGTGAACTGTAACGACAATTTCAAGTTTGGCGCTTCCAGAGTCTTCCATGCAACGTATGCGGCAATCATCTCGTTCATGCTGGGCACCCATGAGATTCTTCTGAAGGTATCGATCGTGCAAGGAGATGTTCCCCTTCTGCTCTCCAGGCCGGTGCTCGGGCGTTTGGGAATGGTTCTCGATGTGTCCTCCAACAGTGCCTCTTTTCGGCAGGTGAATGTTTCGGACTTCCCATTGCTGATTACCGAAACGGGACATCCAGCGCTGCCGGTTCACCCTGTCAACGTCTCAGGAATCTCTTCGAAAGTCGAGAGCTGGGGCGATGCCGAGATCAAGACCTATCAGCGTTTCGAGTCATACATGCCTGACCTGTGTGGGAGTGCTGTGGAGATGCCCGAACCCTCTCCTGTACCACAACAATGTTTTATGACCCAAGACGAGCATGTTACGGTCTATCCGAACCACGACCCTCAACCTAGCCTCAAAACCAACCCGGCTATGAGTGCAGAACAACGATTTCTACATGACCTAAAGGCCTTTCAATCTTTACGACTATCACAACAGGGTCTTCATACTCATCATCGAGATCTTGCACAAGAACTTGATCATCAGGCTCATGGACCTCCTCTTCACCGAGATCGTTCATCGATGGAACAAGGCCCCGAGGTCCCTGCGAGTGGTTCTCCTTCTTCTGTCCCCAAGAGAGTGTTCTATCCCAAGAAGATTGGCGTAGCTATACGGAACATGTTGAGCCACGACCAGTTCAATGCTACCACTTTTATGTCATGGTGGAATCAGACCAACATTTCCAACGACTTCTGGATAGAAGATGAGCACATTTTCGTCAGAGTACATGTTGTTCCTCGGAAGTACGCTTTCTCCCCCGCAAAGTGGAGTACTAGCAATCATCAACATAAGCATGAGCTCCTCAAAGCCCTTGGGAACATCCGAGTCACCGAAGCTGTAGCTTGCAAGACCTCTCGTGCGTTATCACCAATCAGAGGGACCTGGAGGGATGGCGAGTCCGATGCTGTCTACCCCTGCATGTGGATTGGCCGCACAGTGTTCGCTCGAGCATCTATGCCTGAAGCTAACCCAATTTCCAATTCGACGGTGTCCCATGGCCCCGAAGTCCAAGCTCAACATCGTGATCACCAAGGAGAAGACCCTATGGGACCTCAACAAAGCAGAACTTCTTCAGGAAGCCGCTTCCCGCAACCTCCCAGTACACCCTTCGTGGAACCTGGAGGAGATTCGCTCGATTGTACAGGAGGACTGCGCCAAGCAGGACGTGATCCCTCCTGGAGCGAAAGTCCCGCCGGCCCTGGGCAAAATGAGTTTGGACGAGCTCAAGACGGCAGTTCGGGAAGCGGGACTCGAGGTACCACTTCGAGCCACTCGCGGTCTTCTCATGAGGATGCTGCGCGACTCGGTGGAAGGAGCGAGTTCGAGAGTGATGACCTTCGGAAGGCATCGCGGGAGCAAGTACTCCGAGACACCTCAGTCCTACAGGGACTGGGCCATCCGCGAGACGGACGCCAATCCCGGAGCCTCGATGGACCTGGTGATGTTTGCCAACTGGTGCAAGGAAGAGACTGCGAAGCTGGATCCCATCTCCTACCAAGACCCAGAGGCCAGTGCTTCGATACCGTACCAGGCAGAGGAGAGCGGCTACTCCAGCTGGGATCTGATGAGTCGGATGTCAGAGGCGAGGACCAAGGCCCGCGCCAAGGCAGCCGCAGCCACCCCTATAAGGAGTTCTCCACAGAGGCGGACCCTCTCGTCGGCGGCTTCGGCGACAAGCGAGATGAGCCAGGACATCAACCCAGAGACCCTCGAGGAAATCCAGCTGCTCGAAGGGAGACTTGCGGTACTACGAGATCGGCATGGTCTCCCACCGCGCCAGTGAGCTTTGCCGAGGAATTCTTTGAATGCGACGAAGGACCCGAGCTCCAGACAGACCGCAAGGAACTGCCCGACAGCGAAAGGAACGGCATCCAGTCGGACTACCTCAACACCCTCGGGAACGAAGGCGGTGCGCGCGAGGACTTTCACGAGGGCATCAACCTACAGGCGAAGTACACGGACGCCCCCACGAAGGAGGACAAGGAGACCTACTTGCACGCCCCCAAGAATGAGGACGGGATCTACGGCAACTACTTCGAGGAGACCAACGTCCCCTACCAGAGCGACCCAGAGAAAGAGCCTCCGGATCCGAGCACCGAGGCTTGCGACGACGATGTCGGCATCACCGAGAATCCCACCGATGAGTTCGCCCTCCTCGAAGGCGACAGCCCTGCTGAGGTCTACATGAGCGATTCCCCAACGACTACCGAAGAGGCCGAAACCTTTGCGAAGGAGCTCCTCAACAACGAGGCGTTCGACTATGGATCTCTACTTCTTCTCGTTCGTCTTCTGCCTCTCAGCAAGAAGAAGAAGCACCGCGACATCGCAGGCGGAAGAGGAGAAGAAATCACTGGGATGACAGCAGGTTTGTGGAGCCACGGAGCCTTTCATGGGCTCACCTCTTCAATGGCGCAGTTCCCGTCGGTGATCAAGTACATCAACGCCTTCGCTAGGCACTTTCTACCGGAACAGACATGGTCTTCGTTTGTCTTAACCCGGAATGTTCAATGTGGACTCCATCGCGATTCTCACAATGCTGTTGGTTCCCGAGTCCATTGCACTTCTTTTGGAGGCTTTGAAGGTGGATCTCTGTGGATTGCTGACAATCGTCCTCTTCCCGATGATCCACCAGGCCACCGACTAGCGTGGAAGGAAACCTCTTCCGGAAAAAGTCTGGCCGGAAGGTATGTGAGCTCCAAGGAACGTTTCTTTTCCTTTGATCCCAAGACACCCCACGCCACAGGAGATTTCAGCGGCGAACGCTGGTGTATGTCGCTGTATACTTCAAGGTCAATCTCCGAGACCGACCAGACGGAGACGACACGTCTCATCGAGTACGGGTTTCCTCTCCCTCAACAAGTTCCTCCTGTACCTCAAGGCGAGTTCATCAAGAGCATCAAGAAGAGCAAGAAAAGAGGTCTATGGAGACAAGCAAAGCGACTCGCCGCGCTTACGGCTTGGTGTACTACCGCTGGGTTTTCTCTATCTCAGCAAGCGTTCCCTATGTCAAAAGGAGCCGATGCCGTGACCATCTTCGAGATCGGCGGAGACTCCAAGACTGCCGAGTGTGGCGACCTCGGCTTCATTTCGGCCGAACCTCTACTCCCAGATGATCTCCTGAACGATGAGTATGTTACGGATGCTCTTCAAGCTGCTCAGGATTTGAAACCGGCCACCGTGTGGGTCCATGGAGACAAAGTGAGGCCTATCTGGTCTCTACTCGACGACTTCCTCGACCATCAGCTCTTCGCCGACAGAGCCATTGTGATTGAGGCCAATGACGATAACCCCTGTTGGGCATCTTCTTGGGCTCATAACATCTGTGCCAATGCAACCTACGACCAGACCGAAGACAATGGGACCAGAGTAGTCAAGGCGAACTACATCGACAACAAGCAGGTTCCTGGAATCGACCAGAACCACTCTCGCACTTTTGCCGCTTATGTGACTTCATCTACTACCGCAACACCTACGGCAAAAGGAACAGCCGAGGCCGACGAGCGCGGAAGCAACGCTATCGACTTCGACCCCGGGCCAGAGATCAAAGGAGATGTTCAGTCTTCCCTGAAAAGGCTGCATCAAAACCTGGGCCACCCTTCGCGCAACGACATGGCTCGCCATCTTCGACTTGCTGGTGCAGGACCAGAAGTTGTAGCCGCAGCTAAACGACTCCGATGCCAGGTGTGTCAGAGAAATGTCCGAAACAATTCTTCCAAGCCCTCCTCTGCGCCTACTCTCCTTGATTTCAACCAGGTTGTGGCAGTGGACGCCTTTTCAGCCTACGACTCCCAGCAGAAGCGTCACGACTTCCTCGCGGCCCTCGACATCGGGACTGGCTTCTGCATGGTAGAACTATTACAAGGGCACAGCACAGAAGCTATGGAGAAGACCTTTGCTTGCATGTGGGCTCATGTGTTCGGAGCGCCAGGAACTCTGGCAGTGGATCTGGAATCCGGGCTTCAATCAGGACTTTCGAGGTTCGCAGAATGGCATGGGAGCCGGATCCGCCCCATCGCGGGGCAAGCGCACTGGCAACAAGGAGCAGTGGAAAGGCTCAATCGGCTGTGGAAAGAAGTATGGAACAGGATCGTGGACGAGAAGTCTGTTGTTGCCCAGGACGTCCCAATGGCCGTGACAGCCGTGAACTCCGCCCTGAACACTCTACGTCGAGAATCAGGCTTCAGTCCGTGTCAAGCTGTGATGGGCCGAGATCCTCGGCTTCCCGAAGATCTACAAGGAGGCCCGCACGACGAGCACGTTGAGGAGGTGATCACCCGAGACCGGCAGAGAGCCCGAGAGCATGCTCTACGGATCGCTGCGAAGGAGGCATACTTTAAATGCCAGTCCGACTCCAAAGTACGGAGAGCTCTTCTTCATCGGTCCCGTGTAGCTGGGCCCGAACTGTCTGCAGGAGACCACGTGTATTTCTACCGCAAGCCTAAGAATAAGAAGCATTGGTTGTGGTTCGGGCCGGCGGTGGTGATTGGACATGAAGGCCCCAATCTCTGGTTGAGCTACTCCGGGAGGTGCTATCTCACGGCCCCAGAGCATATCAGGAGGGCTACAGCGGAAGAGATAGGTACGGCTTTTACAATGCGGGCTACGGAAGACGACTTGAACCGCCTTCTGGAAGTCGACTACGAGGACCCTGAGGCCCTGGACATCGATGAAGAAGGAGACGTGACCCTGGACTCCCACGAGAATCCAGCCGATCTTCGAGGGCAAGTCAGGGCCCCTTCATCGGCAGCCGCGGCCGCCGCTCCGGTGACCAAGCGCCACCGGACAAAAGGTCCGCAGTCCGATTCCGCCGAACCCCTCGGCGACACTCCTATGGCAGGCGAAGAAGATATTGTCCACAGCGCCAACATGGTAAAGCTCCCCAAGACCGCCCGTGGGAAAGAGAAGGCCCTAGAGAAAGAGATCCCTTGGCAGGCCATTCCCGAGGACCAGAAGGAAGCCTTTGTCAGCGCTGAAAAGAAGCAATGGTCAGAACATGTCAAGTACCACGCACTCGAACCTCTCAGCATTGAACAAAGTCGCCAGGTCCTACGCGACAAGCCAGAACGAGTTCTACCCAGCAGGTTCGCCTATAAGGACAAAGCTTGGAGCAAAAGGAAACTCGACAGCAACTGCCCCTGGCGACCCAAGGCACGGCTAGTGATCGGAGGGCACCGTGATCCTGATCTAGATAAGGGACTCCCGTCCCATGCGCCTACAATTTCTCGTCAAGGAGTGCTGCTGTTGTTGCAAGTGCTCGCCAGCAACTTGTGCAACGGCTGGCAAGGTTTCGCTGGCGATATCACAGCGGCCTTTTTGAGTGGCCGGGATCTACAACGAGAACTATACCTTCGTCAACCGAAGTCCGGACTGGGAGAACTGCACCCAGAACAGTTGATCAAGATTCGCAAACCAGTCTTTGGATTAGTTGATTCCCCGGCAACCTGGTGGTCTACCTTGCAAGAGACCCTGAAGTCCCTCGTCTTCACCGACGACGATGGAGTTAGGTGGAGGGTTTGTCAATGCCCGCTTGATCACTGCATTTTCACAGTGCAGGAGGTGAAGGTCACGAATGGAGAAGAAGTTCTCGGCCCTCCTCAGGCCTACCTCGGAGTGCATGTGGACGACATCCTGATGGTGGGCAATACCAAACTTTGTCGGTTGGTCCAGCAAAAGTTGGGGGAACATTTTCCCATCGAAGAATGGGAAACCGGCTCCTTCGAGTACGTGGGATCCTTTGTGGAGGTCGGCAACGATTCAGTTAAGATCTCCCAGTCGAGCTATGTGGGTTCCAGACTTTTTGAAGTTGAGGTTCTTCCGCACCAAAGGGACTTTGACCCCGCCACGGAGACCCAGCTCCACGACAACCAGTCCCTGGTGGGAGCACTTTCGTGGCTTGCCAGCCAAAGCCGGCCCGACCTACAGGCTTCCGTTTCGATGTGTCAGCAGTGCCAACGGTCCCCATTGGTCCAGGACATCCGCTTCAGCAACCAGGTGGCTAAGCGCGCGATGGAGCACCGCGACGAAGGGATTGTTCTTCATGCTGTACCTCTTCAGCGAGCAGTGCTTTTGTGCTACCACGACGCTGGATGGGCGAACGTTCCGCAGGACGAGGGCGACCCCGTCTACAAGTTGAACGACTACGAGAACGAGGCCGGGCTCATCAAGGAAGGACCCTTTGTGGATCGAGAAAGAAAAGCGAAGAGAACCAATTCCAGCATCGCTTCACAACTTGGAGCTCTGTATCTTCTCTGTGACGAGAAGATCCTCAGCGGAGAAAGGTGCCCAGCGAGCGTGCTCGACTGGAAGAGTTCGGCATGCGACAGAGTCTGCCGCAGCACCTTTGCCGCAGAGACGATGGCCTGTGCCACCGCGATCGAGACCGGAGACTACATAGGCAAGTTCTTGGAGACACTTCTGACAGGGCGCCTAGAACGGAAGCAGACTCGTTTCAAGTACAGATTCCTCAGCGACTGCAAGTCCCTCTACGACAATTTGTCGAAGGAGGGCATACCTCGTGTACCTTCATGTAAGCGTCTTGCCATAGATTTGGCCGCTATCAGAATGGACCTCTCCCATTTTGGAAAGCTGACTTGGGTGCCTACGCAGGCCCAAATGTCAGATGTCCTCACTAAGCCAATGAGGGCAGTAGAGTGGTGGAAAGTCTTGAAGGAGGGTTTAAAGTTGACGTTCAAGGAGGTCGAAGACGTTTTGGACCAGTGTAAATCTATGAGTGTCTGCAAGCAGAACGACCTCCTGTCAACCCCTTGATTCAAGGACTTGCGTCGTCCGAAGGCACATGTGTTTTGGCTTCAGCAAAAAGACCGTCGCGAGTCTTCAGAAGCCCTTAGTTCTAGATTTAGGGTTTCGAAGCCAGGATACCCAGCTCTTCAATCGAATACGGTAGTGAGTCCTAAGCCCCTAAACCCCAAATCTTACCCCTAGCCACCAAAACCTACGGCCTGAGCCTTAGACCCTAAATCACAAAAGCCCAAACCCTAAAGCCTAAACCTCTGAACCCCTAATTAAAGCCCAAACCCTAAATCCCGAAAGCCCAAACCCTGTGCCGAGGCACTGGTCGGACGGGATACTTGTATATCAAGGCAAGCTGGATGCAGGACCTTCTCAGGCTTGGGGATTTTAGGGCTCAGGGTGTTAGGGTTTTAGGGTTTAGGGCTTAGGGGTATAAGGGTGTAGAGTCTAGGTTTTAGGGGCTTGAGGATTTTAGGATTTAGGGTTTACAAGGCTCCTTGAAAGGATTCCGACAAGGGTTCCTATATGCCTGCCTATACTGCGATAAACCCTGCATCACTTTGATTAGTCAAGCAGGAAATTGGTTCTCTCTGGATTTTGACGATCAAGTGGGTTTCTGCCCATTCTAGTGCATGCCCGAATGAACCACGAAGAACCTACATTTGTTAAGGACTTATATAAGGAAATCATAATAAGGAACCCTAAAAAGGTAGGTTGTTCAGGGCTTAGTTTTGTGTGGTGTTTGGGGGTTTAGGGTTGCCTGCAAGTTTGCGGCCTGGCTAAGCGCACTTGTTTCGAAGTTCAACGAAGCCACCCAAACCCTGCACTTCAAGCATCAATTCTAGAATCTAATCCTAAGCCCCAACCCCAGAAAAAGGAACTGCGTAATTCTTAGGATTCCTTTTTGTATGTAAACTGTACTTGACATGCAGCCCTGTTCTGATTCTTCAGGCCCCTCTACTACCCTCCGGAACCCTAAGCCAGGGGGCAGAAAAGCGCTCACGAGGTTCGGAATCCAAATCGGTGTCGCACCTTTGCGGAGACCCACTGCCAGCCAACCTGAGGGTTCGCGTTTCGGGTTTGGGGTTTAGGGGAGACGGAGGCAGAAGGGAGGATTCACAGATCAAAGATGCCGCCAATGCTCAGAGGCGCTGGACCTTGCGACTGTTAATCGTGCTCAGCCTCTAGATTCATGCAACTCTCGATCCCACCAACACCGCACCACCCCAAGCACTCAGAAAACTCGAGACAAACGGCCTCAAAAGCCAGCTATTACAGGGGCCTTAATGATTAGAATGCGGCCTTGGGATGCTTTACAATATACTTGTATAGGGACTTATATTTCCAAAAATCCCGCGACGCTCCAAGCTGCACACATCTCCGAAACTGCGAACAGATCCGCTTTAAGCACTCGATCGGAGGGGGGTTTGCAGGGGGCAGGGTAGTGGGGGGACCATAGGGAGCACTACTGTAGTGATTATTCGGCTACCCGCTGAATCCCCCTCCCTTAAGGATCGCATACTTGGAAGAAGAGTGGAGTTCAGATCGCATTTTCGAGAAGCTGTGTTTCACAAGGCCTACAGCGCAACACCTGAAGCCACAACGCCCTTAAAGCCCTGAACCCTCACTGCAGCCGGGAAGCAGCAGCTGTTCAAAAAGCCCAGGAAGCTCTGTAGCAGTGGTAGCGTCTCGGAAGATTGTGTCCTGTGCAGATATAGACAGTTCCACTCCTTAAGCGGCAAGTTCAGTGCCAAACTTTTCACTCTTCTTGTTACGAGCGTTGAACCTAGTTGATTATAAATGCTTTTCTGCACATGGCTCTCTAATTCGTTCCGTTAACGGAACTTTCGACAAGCTCGACCAGCTCGTCGTCCGAAGGCTCGCGAGGCTGATGGATACCCTGATTAAAGTCTTCCGGGACCCTAAACCTTATTATGATTTCCTTATACAATTCCTGAAAAAGATAGGCTCTTCAGAGTCCAGGTAGGGCTTAGAGTTCGGGTAGTGCTTGCGAAATGAACGCCCGCTTTCGGTACTTGTCGTCACGATTCCGTACTCAGTCTTGGCTGTGATGGAAGCCCAGCAAAAAGGATTATATTTTCAAAGGGGTCTATAAGGGATCTATAGTAGGGTTCTGTAGTACGGGCCTAAAGAAGTACCTATGCTGTTTTTGGGGTTCCTTGTTTTCCTTATCCAACCTATACCAAAGTGGACGTCTGTTTAGAGAAACGGCTTAGCTGTTTGGTAGCTTTCGGATGTCCACGAGGCGATCCTAATCCTACTTGTCGAGTATCATGGGGAACTAAAGGTTAACCTTTTTGGTTATATAGGGATTATACAGGGACTATACTACCCAAAAACGGTTAAAGGTTACCTACTCGACTACCAGGTAATGTAGACAACCACCCACAGCGAAGCCCGGAACTGGCAATCCGAGTTCTTTTGTTGTGCAGGGGGGCTACTTCGAGGATCATGGGACTTAGTAAGAAAGGTTATATGTACCTTAATTGGGTCATAAGTAGTTATAAGTATAGTCACCTTGCTTATAACCCTAGTGACTAAGTCCCATGATCCTCTAAGTACTGGGCTGTCTATGCTGCGACTGTGCTGGGGAAACGTAGGGAAAAAGATCACGCATTTTTCAGACCCCTCCATGGAACTGGACGACTCCTAAATGCTTTTTGACATCTGACAACACTGGCTCCCACCTCATCACCTCACCGATGCTGGCCAGTGGAGCTCCGTACCTTCAAAGTAGCATAGGCTTCAGGGTCCAGGTTTCATGGTTTAGGGTTTTGGGCTTAGGTTTTGCGGTTTTAAGGTTTACGGCTTTACGGTTTATGTGGGTTTTGATGAGGTTTTACAGGGTTTCAGACGGGGGCCGTAATACATACAATAGGGCTTGCGGGTTCTAGTTATTTGTAATTTTCGTGTGTCTATATAGGGGATATGTACAGTGGATATACTCTAAATTAATCGGAGCACCAGTTTCATGTCGTGCTCAGCCCGAGACGAAAAGACCCATTTCTTTACACGGCTGACCCTAAACCCAGTACCCTTTACTCCCCGAAACCTTGTATAGGTGTTGGCCCATTATTTTACCCATTTAGGGGGAGGTAGACCCCAAAGACCTGGAGTTGGCTCCCGGAGTCGGCTCTCTGGCTTTTCTCTGAACATTCGGCATGCTGAACACATTCAGGGCATCAAATTTAGAAATGGAACTGGCCTGTCACGTCCTCCAAAATGCCAAGTACCTGCCTTCCGTGGGCATTAGAACCTATCAGGGCTTGGGGTTTAGGGCTATAACCTCTCAGGACTCAATACCTGAAAGATCTGGGGGCTTCGGTAGCAGGTACAGTAACAAGTTAGATCTATACATCCCTGAATTTCGAATCTGCTGTACTTACAGCGCTATCCTTCAAGTATGTACCCCTGAATACAAGGTAAAAAACCCTAAACCAACAACTTAACAATCTAGACCCAGCACCCGAAAACCCTCAACCCTAACCCCAAGAGACCTAAAGCCCTAAACCCAGCCTAAACCCTATAGTACCCTTATAGAGCTCTTAAAGGAACCCTAAGCACTAAGCGCAAACCCCCTAAACGCGAGTCCCGGCTGCTAGCTTCGTTCCCAACCAAGCTTTTCTGAGTTAACCCTCTGGTTTGATGCTACAGAGGTTGCGGACACTTTGGGAGCCCTTCTTGGAAATTTTTCATTTTCAAGTAGCAAAAACAACAAGAAGAAGAGCAGCAGCAATCATCACAGAGGTAGTACGAGTAGCAACGACAACAATAATACGAACAACTGAAGGACTGGCTCCTTACGCTCTGAAGCTCTCCAGTCAAGGCCATGGCACATGGAAAAGGCCACGAAGATCCCAAGTTTGCCGACGAACTCAGCGCCACCCTCGACGTATTTCGCATAAGCGAAAACTAGCATGGAGAGCCTGGGCAGGGATTCGTGTGGTTGAGAGACAGACAAAGAGAGCGGGAGAGAGAGACCGAGACAGAGAGGGACACAGAGCGAGAGAGAGAGAGAGAGGTAGACGGAGAGGGGCAAAGAGAGAGGGAGAGAGAGAGAGAGAGAGAGAGACAGAGAGAGGGAGAGAGATAGAGAGAGAGAGGGGGAGAGAAAGACAGAGAGAGAGAGGAAGTTGTTGAAATGTAGACCTTCGCCGAGACTGGAATGATTAGTGTCAGCACCTGATGTCAAACCTGATACCGAGATCCAGCATACTACAGGGGCCTTTATTATTACAGTAGGGTTCCTTCAACGGGTTCCTTTAAGAGGGTCCTATTATCAGGATTACTGTCAGGGATCTACAAGGGTACTATAATATAGGGACCATAAGAATTGGAATACTTATAATAAAGAACCCCTAAAAATGCATAGGACATTTTTAAGGCCCCTATATCAGAATTCCAAACACAGAGACGACACCCTGATTCCAATATTTCCTGAATCACCCTCAATCCCGGAGCCCTAAACCCCAAAAGCCTGAATCCCAGAACCCCTAAACCCCACATCCTACGCCATACCATCCAATCTTAGCCAAAGCCTACTTAGAGGATCATGGGACTTAGTAACTAGGGTTACTGTGTATATATATATATATATATATATATATTTTTTATGTAAAGTAACTATACTTATGACCCCCACTTAAGGTACTTATAACCTCAGTCACTAAGTCCCATGATTCTTTAAGTAGACCCTAAACCCTAAACCCCTGTAGCAGACCCTTAACCCTAAACCCTTATAGGTCCCTCTTAAAAGGAACCCTACTCTACTGAGCCCAAAGCCTAAGGACAGCTCGCAAAGCTCAGCCCCAGCGGCGCTGCGATGGCCAAAGTTCCCAGGGCCGCTTTGCGGTTCCAGTCCTCTGCCTGCGCCTCGTCGAGGGGTTGGTTTGGGGTTTAGGGTTTAGGGTGTAGGAGTTCCAGGCTTAGGGGTTTGGGTTTAGGGGTTTAGGGTTTAGGGGTTCAGGGTTTAGGGGTTTAGGGTTAGGGATTAGGGTCTGTAGGGGCTCAGGAAGGTTAATTTTTTCAATTACGGTAGGATTATATAAACCCCCAAAGGTCAAAGGCTACCTACTCAGATACTAGGCTTACTATGGTTGCTCGATACGCTTGAGCTTGAGGTTTTACGATTTTAATCTTCTGCAAGTGTCGGGATTTCGGGACTTAAGGCCTGTGGCTCAGGGTTTTAGGTGGTTGGCTAGAAAGCTTGTAGGTAATTCTGGTTACGTTTACTGTTTGAGAACGGGGTTTAGGGGTTAGAGTTTGGAGCTTGAAGTTTAGGGCTTTAGACTTCTTTGATTGAAGGAAGACGTTGCGCCTCGGCCACGACCTCCATATGGATCGCATTTATCTTTCTAGTGATTCTAGTGGCTTCGTGCTCCCTACACACTATGTAACCTTATAGTAACCATACCCCAGTGACCCACCATATAGGTGTAAAACCCCTCTAAGAAACCCCATAAACGACTAGACACCCTCGTATAACCTTATAGCATCCTTATGGAGCCCTCCTCGGGGACCCGACAGAGGTCGCTCGAAAGCTTTCTGAAACCGTCGAAAGCCCAAACCTTAGCGGTTTAGGGCTTTCGTGTTTAGGTTCTTGGGGCTTTAGGGGCTAACACTTTAGTTAAGTGTCTCATCGCAGCCCAGAGAAACACCACAAACGCACTACCATTCTAAGCCCTAAGCCCTAAATGCCTTAAAACTTCAAGCCCTTGAAACCCTTTTTTCAAGCCTTGCGCCTCGCGACGGGCGAACCACCAACAAACCAGCGTGCTGACGACTCCAACGGCCGCGCCGTAGGCGTTGCAGGGCACCAGTGGGGCAAGAGGCAGGTAGAGGCCATAGGCCAGCCTGAGAGCTTCCCACAGAAGAAGCCAAAAAGTTGGAAACCCAATAGCCTCAATCCTTACGGGTAAGGTAAAAGGAATCCCAGCACTATTTCGCCTTAGTCCGGTTTCCAACTTTATGGGGTTTACTGTAAGGTTGATGATATAAATCCTGCCTTACCTGAATGACCGTAGACTATGGGAAGTAATTATGGTATATTCCTGAGTCCTTACTGTGGGTAAGGGGTGTAGGGGCCTTGGAGTTCAGGGCTTACAGGGTCAAGCGTTCAGCGGCAGCATGTCTCAGTTTCCTAATTAAGGGGTCCATGTACCCAAACAGTCTATACTTTGACCTTTGAATAGTCTGTATCTACGTACTTCGGGGGCCAAAATACATGCGGTTTGGGCACATGGACCTGTGGGGCTAGGTTTAAGGTGTAGGTGTTCCTTTCCCGGCTTGTTGGAGTGTCCAGAACCTGGTTGAGTTGAAGTTAAAGGCTGTCCCAACCTGAACCCGAAGTAGAGGCAAAAAGCCAACCTAGGAGTTTTCAATACGCAAGGGCCTTTCCGGGACGACTTTTGGGGTTTTGGGGTTTCGGGATGTCGGATTCCATACGAACACGCTCATTTATGCTCCGGACTTAAGAGTTTTTGGAGTGTCTGGGTTTAGGAGGATTTGGTTCAAGTTACCATAGTAAGGAAAGCCTAATCTCCAACCAGCAAGAACCCATGGCAGGGTGGAAGTACCTGTGGTGTCCAGGGCCCAAACCTCAACAAAAATACCTGACGTAGACTATAATCACAGCAAGATCTTATTTGGGGATCTTGATGACCAGGGTTTGGGGTATATAGGGTTTGGCACTTAGACGAGGCTTTTCGTTTCAGAGTACTACTGGTATATTTACATGGCAAACAGAAGGCATAGTTCGTCATAATGTTACTACAGCATATAGTTCCCTATGAAGCGAGTGGGGTATTCGTCATAGGAAACCTAAGCGCGCTTGGGGCTTGTGGGCTTTAGAGCCTGTGTGTCTAGGGTTTACGGTCCATGACAGTTTTTCCTGCATTCCAGGCAGCTGCACCATGCAGTTGAGGTAGAAGCCTGCAGCTGCGCTGGCACGGTATGTAGTAGTCACTGTTTGTGGTAGTAGTAGTAGTAGTAGTAGTAGTAGTAGTAGTAGTAGTAGTAGTAGTAGTAGTAGTAGTAGTAGTAGTAGTAGTAGTAGTAGTAGTAGTAGTAGTAGTAGTAGTAGTAGTAGTAGTAGTAGTAGTAGTAGTAGTAGTGGTGGCAGTAGTAGTAGTAGTAGTAGTAGTAGTAGTAGTAGTAGTAGTAGTAGTAGTAGTAGCCGTCGTCGTCGTCGTGGTCGCAGTATCAGTAAGAGTAATAGAAATCGGAGCAATACGAGTAACGGTAGTGCCGGTAGTGGTAAGAGAAATAGCAAGCGGACACGTGGTGGCAATGGTACATCGGGGCCGCCCCACAAGACTGAATGCACAAGCACGTCATGAAGCAGCTTCGCCGCCGCATCGAGTACTACGACACGAACAGATGTAGAGGCAGACAGCTCATGACTGCGTCATCTGCGCATGTGGTGGAGCACCTTGACCCGACAACCTAAACCCTAAACCCTAACCCCGAAACCCTAAACCACTAGACACTGAACCATAAACCGTACAGCCTAAACCCGAAAACCTTAAACCCTACAGCCTAAAACTTACACCCTACACCTCAAAGAATATGCCGATGGGGAGCAGAGCAAGTTCAACGGCTTCACGTAGCGGACTTTGGCCGGCATTCCATAGACGTCCAGTGTCCTGCAGGGGTAATGGCAGAAGGGGTTGCAACGCACGGTCGCAGTGCTTTCTCGATTTAGGGTCTGCTTCTACCTTGTTACAGGCCGTACATGTGGCCAAAAGATGATACTTTCATGGGAAAGTCGCCAAGCGCCAATCCCCGAAGATGAGCTCCAAGACACAGGCAATGGGACCCAGACTGACTAATCTGGGATGTTTGGTTGGCAGACAAAAGAACCCCAAACCTGCATAGGCTGTGAGATGCCGCGCCTAACTTCTCCAATTTCCTTTTATTAAGCAAACTACCCCAAATAATGGAGGAATCCATCAAAGTGCTTAAGAATTTCCTTAAGGGCAGAATGAACTATACGTTCAATTACAGATGGATCCTTCAGGACAGACTGCCTTGGCAAAGGGTTTGAAAACTCCGGGCGGGCTTGCCTAGGGCTAGGGCTCACGATGCACAACAAAACTCTACTTTCCTATCGGTAACGATTTGTGCAAAGCCGCCAGCACCTTGAGACATTTAGTGCCGGCTTTCTCATTCCATGTGTTTCTGACTCCTTGCTTCGGTTATATAGTATGCTTAAACCCGCTTCCGGCACGCTTGCCCGTGAGCAAACAAGAGCCCCAGGAAAGCTAGGAGTTGTAGGAACTCTGCGAAATTAGTACTGATAGGCCCTGAAATACCCTGTATTGAGGGTTCAGTGCAGTGAGTACCACTCCCAACCCCGAATGAAAAGCTACTTTTCAAATCATTCTAAGCCATCATCCAGTCTTCGGTTTCACAACTAAGAGGATCATGGGACTTAGTAATAACGTAGCTATACTCATAACTACTTATGACGACAAAAAATACTTCTAACCATAGTTACTTAGTCCCATGATCCTCAAAGTATCTACCCACCCAGCCTGCAACAAATGCCTTAACCCGAAACTCTCAGCGGCTTTCGAACCTAAAAAACCTAATTACTGCTTTATTTCAAAGGCCTCTCTCTAAACCCTGATTCCAAACCCTAGGCCCTAAACCGAAACCTAAATGAAGCACTATACCCCAAAACTGATGCCCTGTGTCCTAAAAGTTCTTGAAGCCTCAAAACCCAAGACCCTTAGACTCTAAACCCACCCCAAAACAACACAAGCAACAAAACTCGAAGACTCTAAACCGCCCAAAGCCCACCAAAAAACCCTCAGACTCAAAAATGGGTGCTGCATCCGAGGCTCTGAGACAGAGGAGAGGTCATAAAGAATACCGCCATGGAGATCGCCATCGTCTCAAGGAGAACGTCCACATATCTGCCATGCTGTTATAGGGTTCGCGTGGTGCTTCTTGGGGGGGACAGGGGGTTTATGAGGCGTTATCGGTTTGACGGAATGATTGATCTGTGTATTTTGCACTGGTAGGGTTTGTCTCTGTGTGTGTGTGGGGGGGAAACCTTGTTACCAAGGGATGTACAATAGAAACCAGGCAGGGGGCCAGCGGAGACGCATGTAAGATGAGTGCGTGTGCTGGCCAACGAAGACCACGCACCCATCTACCTGTCTTCCCGTTTAAACGTACCTACGATTTTGTCTGTGTTGGCATGGGGCTAAGCCAAGAACCCACAGAGTCTTTTGATTCTGCATGGCAACCATGCACAGCCATAAACCTGGAATGTCGACGAACACCCTTTTAACTGCCTATGCGGCTTCAGATCTCACCTCCTCCAGTAGATTTACGATTCAACAAAGACAAGCCAGAGGGAGGATTGCACAAGTGTGTGTGTGTGTGTGTGTTTGTGTGTGTCTGTGCATGTGTGTGTTGGACTGCAGCATGGTGGGGCTGTTTGCGGCTTAGGACAGCTTAGGGTCTAAGGCTTCCTTTTGGCAGTCGCGGTTTTCGGGGTGAGGAGAGTGGGTGTAAGGCTTTTGGGGTTGTTTGTTGTTTTGGTCATTGAAATTTGAGCTGGATGGCTTGAAGGCTTGGGCTCCTCTCCGGATTTTGGGATGCCGAACTTGCAAGATGTTGAGGGGTCTTATTATACGGTTTCAATACGATCTGCATAGGCTTGATACCAGCTATGCGCAGCAAACTTGAGCTTGAGTACATGTGAAGTGTAGTTGTTTGAGGAAACTCCTTCCCCAAATCAAAGGAAGCCTTACGAATTTGGAGGTTTCGCGGTTGTTTGGACACACAGTAGACCCCCCGAAACCCCCAAAGCTTGGACTTCTGGACCTTAACGCCCAAGCTTGCTTGAAAAATCTTCAATCATACCCTGAACCCCAAAAGCCTGAAACCTTGAACACCTAAAATTTCAAACCTTGTTGATATGAATAGTCCGTAACCTACCTGAACCCGTAAAACATACTGTGTCAATAGGATTCCATCTAATTATGATTTCCGTATATACATTCATAAAAGGTAGGTCATTCGGGAAAAGTAACCCTTAAACACTACGAATCCCTACTCCCCAAAATCCTCGCAGTTGCCTCGAATCCGCCATCTTCGCTGAGCCGTCAGAAGGCTAAATCCAGGGAGCCCAATGTTCTATGACGGGGCCAAAAACCATGAAACGGTTTGGGGCTTAAGGATTGTCGGAGCAATGCCAGGGAAGTTTCTACATCAACATGTCTGAGCATATGCGCGAAACTCGTCGTGTTGAAATTCAGGGGTATTGGGCTCCCCGAGAAATACTAAAATGTGCCTTCTGCAAGCCAGAGCTGCCGGGTTCTTAAGTCACTGAAAATGAAAGATCCCAGGCGGTGCTATGTGTAAGTTTGCGTTGTATAGGGCCCTGGAGAATGACTGGTGACTAGGGCTTAGGTGAATTTTATCGTATACAAGTATCACGGAAGTTCTAGGGAATGCTACTGTGGTAATGAACCGGGCCTCTATATAAACTAGTCAAGACCCTGCTGTCTAGGGTCTATGTTAGAGTTTCCTGGACTCCCCACTTCTGAAACAGAATCAAGGCCTTGAGTAGATCAGGGTATCAGGTAAGTTTAGCCCCTACACCCTAGGAACGATGGCTTTGATTTTTGGTATTACTACTTATGCCGGCTTCTATACGAAGCCCTACATGTCAACCCCAACCCGACAGAACAGTCTGTAGGCTATGACCCCATTAAACCAACAGGTTGTTGGATGGCAACCTCCCTTTCCCTAATACCTCATATAGGAACCTGATTAAGAAACCTTGGGTCTTTATTAGGGTTCCTTGTATGATTCGTAATATTTGGGGTTATAGGACCAGGGTTTCTTAATCAGGTTCCTACATTAACCCTCAGCCCAAAGCTCGACACAACCTTCGACTCTCAAAGCGCAGTTTACACCGAACTTCATTCTGACGCAACCCCACTGTGGAGAACAAAACCAAAGCCTGAACCCTTATGTTCTGCCAAGCTGTTAAGGGCACCTAGAAACAGTTAAGGTTCCCTTGTGTAGGCATACTCTCGCTGTTTGATCCCAACAAGGAGGGTGTTAGGACACATTCAACTCTAAGAGGCTCAATCCAATGTTTTCGGTTCTTGAGCAGCCCGAAGCCCTAAGTCTTTCAGAGCTCAAGTGCTCAAGCTTTGGAGAGCTGAGTTTGCGCAAACCCTTCACTTGAGATGATGCCTCAACCCGTGGACTCACAAGATTGAAGACAAAGTCAAAAACTGAATAATTGGACTAGGATTACTGGGCGGGGTTCTAAACCCTAGACCCCCCCACTGCCCTTTAATGTACCCGAAATACCCACTTTTCAGGACCATAGTGGGCTACTGGGACGCCTCAATAGCCATAGCTACTTTCACCTACAAAAGAGAAGACCTGCTCTGGGGCCGAAGTTCTTGGGGCCCGATTATGAGGCCCTAAGCCCCCTAAACCCTGAAGACCTAACCCGACGTAAGCCTTATAAACCCTAAAGCCACTAGACCCTAAACGCTAACATAGGGTTACAGGGTTACATAGAACTGTAGCTTCGCAACAACAACAACATCAGCATGAAATGCACACACACACACAAACACAGTCACATAACCTGAACTCCTGCAAGGGAAAGCCGGAAACAGGAAACGCGAAATGTAAAGCTCGAGAAGACCTACGATCTGAGTACCCCAGCCCAAAATAGGTTAACCTTTTCAATTGTGTGTTATATAAGCCCCAAAAAGTTGAAGGTTACCTACTCAGCTACTATGTATACGGTCCAAACTCTAAACCCCAAAGCCTTACATCCAAAGCCCTACTGACAAACCCGGAATCCCAAGAAGCCCGACACGTCTCACATAGCAGGCTTAAAGAACGATACTTCAACCAGGGTTCCGGGACTCTTTCTGGGTTAACCATATGCGGACTATGTGGCGACTGGGAGTACAGGCCCCAATGATCTTCTTAAGGTTTCGGCGGTTTATTAGTACAGATGCAAGGAAGGGATTATGTGGCAATGTTCTTACAAGTTATTCAGGCCTCCATATGACTGACTTTCTTGGTGCTGCGACGCCGTGAACAGGAGTCTGTCCGCGGGAAACTGGAACTGCGAGCGGACCCCAGAGACTCCAATAGCATCCCTTGAATTAGAGGGTCATTCTTGCGGCTAGTGTAGGTCCTGCGAGGGTTCTGTGGGAAGTCAGCTCGACATGCAACTAATCGCGGTGAGGTATGTCTTGAACACGAGACCCTATGTTACTCAAGGATACGAGCCTATGTAACCCATATAAGAATTCTATAGAGCCCTCTAGAAAAGTGCTAGAACCCAAAGGACCCCTCTAAAGCACTACCGAACCCTAGCAAAGCCAACTAGGCCTTATAGAACCCTTTCAACACCCTTAATTTGACCCTTTAGACCCATGGAGGAACCCTTTGCAATTGCGAATTCGATGTAGGGGCCCTAATGATCATCTGGCGTTTGAGGTATGCTTTACGATGCTCATAGCAAGAAGAATAGCAGCAATAACCTTCAAGATGATGGTCGTACGAAAGACTACAGTACGGTAGTAGAACTAAGAGTAATCTGGAAACCTACGGAATGATGTTGGTAATTCTTTACGCCTCTCCGCTCTTGGAGTCTCCAGGTCAGAGCGCTACTTATACTTCATGATGTAATGCCGGATGTAGCAGAGACCTTGGGCATGCCGTTTGGGTACTGCTTCGGGGGGATGGGACTTACGCCTTTTCAGTCTTAAAGGTGTTGAGTTTAATGCGCGGGGTTTAAGTTTCCTAAACCCTAAACCCTAACCTTGTTAGGTTTCATGGTTTAGTTGCGATGCCTGAGATCCCACGGCTCTTTCGTGCAGGGTTCAAGTGTGCCCAGAGGCTTAGGGGCTGAGTACGTTAGCCCCAAAAAAGGCGAATCTGGCAACCTGATTAAGAAACCTTGGGCTTTTGTTAGGGTTCCCTATATGAACCCTACGATATTGGGGGTTATAGGCCCAGGGTTTCTTAATCAGGTTCCTACATTAACCTTCTCAATTATGGTAGAGTTATATAAACACCAAAAGCCAGAAGGATACATTCTCGCCTACTAACAAAGGAAAAGGGCTCTGAGAATTTCTTGCTGGATGAAATCCGCAGCCTAAAACTTCAAAGCGTTAAAGCCTTAAAGTCCCGAAGACCCACAGACTCTTCATAAAAACCAATATACTCAAGCCCCTCAAACCTAAACCTACTTGAAGGCTCAGGGGACTTAGTAAGTAGGTCAAAAGCAGGGTTATACGTTATACGCCCCTGAACTGAGGTTACTGTGCCTATAAAACAACTTATAACCTACTTACTAAGTCCCTTGATCCTTCAAGTGAGACCCCAAGAGATTCAAATACTATTAACCCTAATTTCCAAAAGACTGCTCAGGAGCAGAGGGACAGAGGTACTTCCACTCGAAGAAGGCCGACCACTTGCCGCGAATCTCCCGTTTCATTTCATCGCCGCCAAGATAGTACAGGGCCACGATGCTGAGTATGACGCAACCTTCGGTTTCATACAGGGGCCTTAATAATTAGAACAGGGTTTTGGGGGGACATATTATCATATAATATGGTTAGAATAAGGAGCCCTTCGGGATACTATCGGTAACTCCTCAGGCCGGAAAAAGGTAACGGCACAAACAAGTCACAGGCTGGTCTTGCCACCGCACACGGACCCAGGGTTTAGGGTCCGTAGGGTCTAATAGGATTTTGGGAGCAGGGTTTAAGGCCTTAGGAAGTCCATATTATAGGTATTAAGGCCCCCTACCCGCCTCCCCCTACCCCCTAGGGGTCCTTACAGCTTAGGGCTTTAGAGTCTAGTGCCTGTTTAGGTCTTCGGGCTTCGGGGCTGTTCGGGAATCTTGGATCTGGCTTCTTGCCTAGGGCTCCAGGGTTCTAAGCTTTAGGGCACTGGCTTCTTGGTTTAAGTTTAGGGTTGAGGGTTAAGGGTTTAAGTTTAGGGCTAAGGGTTAAGGCGCGGTTTTAGAGCTCTGGCTTCTTGGCTTATGGGAGCACGCCCTGAAACGAAACGCCACCCTTTGCTACATATAACGGGCCCTGCTAAGAGGCACCCAAACCCAGCACCTAGAGAAAAACATAGCAATGTAAACCCCAAGCCCAACCCCTAAACCCCAAGCCCACCCTAACACCTTAAACCCCAAACCCAGAACCCAAAACCCTAAGCTGTAAACTCCAAGCCCGGCAGACTCCACGCACATCCCTAAACCCTAAAAACCCCTAACCCCTAAACCCTAAAACGTAAACTCCACAGCCCCAACAGACTGCACCGACAACCCTACCCCCTAAACCCTAAAATGTAAGCCCCACATCCCAAAATGGATCCCTATAGTAGCCCCTATGTAATCCCCAATAATGGTCCACATAATCCATTCCTCCATTCCCTACTAAGAACCAGACAGGGACTATAGATACCCTAAGAACACTTACAGCAACCCTTATAGTACCCCTTAAAGGAACCTTTACAGTAACCCTTAAAGGAACCCCTTATAGTAACCCTTAAAGGATCCCGTATAGTAATCCCTGAAGGAACCCGCATAGTAACCCCTTGAAGGAACCCTGAACCGAGCCCTGAGAGGATCCCTGAAAGGGACATCTCCGGGCCTACCAGGAGTGGCTTCTTCCAGCTCGTGGGATCTTCGGACATTGAGCCAAGGGTGCAAGCTGGCATGACAATCCACCTGGGGCGAAGGGGCTTAGGGGTTTAAGGATGTTCAGGGTTCAAGGGTTTGCGGTTTAGGGGTTTAAGGGTTTAAGGGTTTTGGGGCTTAGGGGTTTAGGGGCTTTTTGCGGTTTAGGGGTGTAGGGTTTAGGGGTTTAGGGTTCATTGATTGAAGGCTTTTAATGTAAGGGTTTAGGGGTTTAGGGCTCAGGGGTTGGGGTCTAGGGTTTCGTGGGAGTGCGGGATTAGGGTTTACTTCAAGGATCACGGGACTCAGTATCCATGGTTAAAATAAAAGTTACAGATAAGGCAACTATGTTGGCAATTCCTTACAATAAACCCCACCTAGATTGGGTACTGTCCCACTTTGTAGCAGTCTATATTTAGGGGTCATATTCAGGGCTATATATGTGTACATATACATATATATATATATATGTATAAATTACACATCGTATCCCGCGGTTACAGAATGGAGGCTGTACCCAAGGTGTAGGGCTTAGGGTGATTGAAAGACCTTGCAAGGTGTTAGTAAAGCTTTGAGGGCTTTTATGAACTTTCAAGGCTTTATAAGGTCCAGCAGCTAAGCACTGCATGATGGCGGGCTTACGTTGCAATGCTTAGGGAGCGGGGTTCAGGGCTTATGGCCGGGATTCAAACTTGGATTAAGTGTCCAAGCCTTACCGGTTGCGGTTCAGGGTTTAAGCTTGGGCTTCAGGGCTTGCGATACAAGGTTCAGGGTGGGGCTGTGAAGTAGTTTCCATTTGCGGATACGGAATTAGGGTCGAGATGGGTTGAATATGCCTCAAGGAATCTGGAGTCCAGAAGCCCATAATCTCATTAGCTCTACCTGACCGTGGCATATAACCGAAACCAAAGTGGGAAGCCAGACATACACTCTCCCCTAGGTGAAAACACTAGCCGTCAACCGCCAACTCTCACAAAGCTCCAGAACCCCATACAGGCTTTAGGGTCTGGGGGATATTCTACCAGAAGTATACTAACGAACCCAAAGGGAATAGTCTTCGTAATTACTTCAGGCCCCTATGTTAAACTCCGCAGACACCAAGATTTCAGATGTAGCGACATCGCGAAGAGGCGGTTGCCGTTGGCAAAGAGAGTGGTCGTCATCGCCTAGGGTGCTGATGATACAGCGGCCTTAATGAGAGGATTAGGGTGACGGGGGTTTATATCTAGTGCGGATATAATGGGATATTGATGATTCGCTTCAAACCCTAACTCCAAGCCCTAAATTGTTCAGACCACCATTTTCAATCCGGGGGTCGGGGTCTCAGAAGTCCTGAAACACTGCCCTCTGGCAGGAATTCTCCAAACTTTCAATCCGGAAATCTTGGTGCCCGAAGAGAGGGCCTGGGAAAAAGCCTCCAGGAAATCGAAAGTCTAAATGGGAGGTACGATGGAAAGCCAAACATAATTTCGCCACTAGTCTGCGGGAATAAAATCCTGCAAGTGCATCAAGGAGATTTCTGTCAAACCAACTCATGTTCTTGTTAAACCTTCAACGACCTTGAAAGGAACCGTTGAAGCAACACCGGGGCTGCTAGTCCACCGCCCGGCTGCAAGGTGATCTCTCTTGTGTACCGGCCGGTCCCTCTCGATCCGGTTTTCAATCAGAATTCGCATGACATCGAGGTGGCCTCTGTCAGGGCGCGGCTAGGGGTGAGCTCTCTACGGTAAAGCAGTTGAGAGCTTGAGCCTGAGGATATTTCAGGCCTTAGGGTTTAGGGTTTAGGGGTTTAGGGTTCAGGCGCTAGATTACTTATTAGAGGATCTTTGAACTTAGTAACTAGGGTTATAAGTAAGGTAGCTATACTTATAACTAGTCATAACACCAATTAATGTACTTATTACCCTACTTTCGATAACTTTCTAAGTCCCATGATCCTTCAAGTAGTGGGCCAGAGATACCCTAAACCCTAACCCTACACCCTAAACCTTTGGGAGCTTCGAGATGTGGAGTTTGAGCTCGGCCCTGTGCAAGAAGAACCTCAATCCCAGAACCTTCACACCCTCAACCTTAAACCCACAAATGCCAAACCCGAAGCCCCAAACCAAAATACCCTAAACGCTAAACCCTAGACTACTGGACCCTAAACCCCAGACCCAAAATCCTAAACCCTAGACCCTGAACGGATAAATCCCTAGGCCCATTTCGAAACCCTAAGCTCCGAAACCCACCGAGCCGCAAAAGCCCTCAAGAGCCGACGCCCTACATCCCTGAGAACCCTTAAGGGTTTAGGGTTTGAAGATTGAGGGTTTCGGGATTAGGGATTTAGGGTTTCGGGCTTCAGAGCTTTAGGGTTTCGGGCTTCGGAGCTTCGGGTTTAGAGTTTTAGGTTTAAGGGTTTAGGGGTTAGGGTTAGGATTTGCAGTTCAGGTTTAGATCTCTTGGCTGACTTCTGAACCCCTCCCAAAAGGTAAACTTTTCGGCCTCCCTATTTTGCTTCATATCGAAGCCCAAACTCCTCAAAGTCCTAAGATCCAACCAGAAGGCTGCCAAGATTTACCCACAACCCTATCCCGAAGCTCCCATAGTTTTTCAGGGTTTGTAGGGGTATAGGGCTTAGAATTTAGGGCTTAGGTTGGGGGCCTTTGGGTTCAGGGTTTAGATATAACAGCTACCCTATCCCGAAGCTCTGAACCCGACTTTATTTGGCCCAAACGGGTTGTCAAGACTTTGGTAGCGTTGTCCTTAGGGCAAAAAAAAACGGACAGCCCCCCCCCAATTTTCCCCTGTCACCTCCGACGACTTCCTGAAAGAGGCTTTAGGGTTTATCCGATCTGTCCAGGCTGTACCCGCGCACCTCTGAAAAGCACAACTCTGATTCTAAACCCGCAGGACTTGCCTCCTCGAAGCGGGAAAACCCTGAGACAACCCCAGATACAGACACAAACCACAGTAACTCAAATCCACAAATCGACCCGCCCTCAACCCTGAATCCAAATCCACAAACCCGGAAGCGACCCTAAATCCCCGGGACCCTCAACCCCAAACCACCCCAAACCTCAAGTCAAGCCACTAAACCTAACACTCTAAACTCCGGACCCTCAAGCCCAAGAAGCCCAAGCAAAAGGGTCGGCCTTTGAAAGCCACGACGAAGAGCATGTTTGTATCTGTGAGGCCCTTTGGCTTCACGGCGCCTGCCTTGAATCTTGGTACTGTAGGGTTCTAAGGCTTTAATTTGGGTTTAGGGTTTAGGGGTTTTAGGGTTGAGGGCTTGGGGCACGAGCACTGTCCTTCAAAAGTCCCAAAGAATTCTGAAAGGCCAGGTGCGTCAATCAGCGCACGCACCACGTCGGCATGGCCCATGCTCGACGCAGCACCGAGGGCATTGCCGTTCGCGGTTCTCCTGCAGTTCGAAAGAACGGCTTGGAGGCAAAACCAAGAAAGAAGTACGAAGGGTAACCTTAAACTACCGTACCGACTTTTTTGTCTTTTTCTTTTAAGAAACCCAAAGTTGAAGCTAAAAAGGACACTGCCAAAAAGGTAGGTTTTGGTACAAGATTCGTTCTAAACCCTAAACCCTAGAACAAATCAAGGCCCGTGGGTGGAGCCGTGTTTTCCCCAGACTCGTTTCGTCTCTGGAGCTTTTAGTGCTTTAAAGTTGAGGGGTTAGGGTTAGGGAGGTTTAGGGTTTAGGGTCGGGCTCTAAAGTTTCTAGGGTTGGGATTAAGGCTGAATCTCTTGCCACAAACATTGCGAAAACCCGAGAGGGGTAATTTCGAGATGCCATCGAAGAACATTCTGGGTAAACTGTGCCCTCGAAGTCAAAAGCCAAAGGCGTGAATACTTTGATCCGCTGCCCTATACTCGACATCCCAAACCCTGAAACCCAAAACCCTCCTATGCCCAAGACCGAACAACCCCGAAACCCTGTTCAACAGCTTATGAAACTTATGTTCCCCAGTGCCCCTTAAGTGTTCATTGAGGGACCCCGAATATGAATGGGCAACACGGTACTAGTACTAGGGAGCCCAGAAACTCTATGCAGCTTGGAATCCCAAACCTGAAACCCATATATATATATATATATATATATATGTATATGTATATGTATATGTATATTATGTATATGTATATGACCACACTGAACGATGGTTCCCAACAGTCCAGAGCTAAGGCGTAAAGATACAAGCATTGTACACCAGTTCTCTAAAGTGAAGGGTCAGAGGAGGGTTCTAGAACGAGTCTTTGGGGCTGTCAGGTTTCGATAAGACTCTTCGTGCCTGGCATTAGGATTTGGGATTTAGCATCTAGGGTCCAGGATCTCGGGCTTGGGCTTCGGTTTAGGGTTCACGTTTCGGGGCGTAGGCTTATAGAGCCCGGAAATAGCTCGTGAGTTCAAGTCCAAGGTTCAGATCTTTGTCTGCGCGTGCCTTTCAGGGGGTGGATTAAGACATGTTTTTTCATGAAAAAACATGTTCTTGGCCGCTTGGTTCCCAGGTAGCCCTGTAAGAAGAAGGGTACCCTTTTTTCGACGATTTAGCTTGACAAAAATCAGAGTGACAAGGGCAAAAGAGTATTATCGGCGGACCTCGGGGCCTGCGCAAGCAGCTGTGGTGGTTCAGGTACAGCTCAGGGAATATACAGGGCTTGTGGTTCAAAACGGACTTGGGACTCAGGCTGTGGGTGGATACACGCTCTGGCCTCAATACTCTTAAGGACTTGTACAAGGAAAACATAGCAAGGTCCTACAAACTCCACAAAGATAGGGTTTATAGGGTTCAGGTATAGCTATGGGTCTGATGCATTCGAAGCGTAGTGGCATAGTGTGGCTGTCACTACATGCTACAATTACATAGGCATATGTGGGCAAGCCGATGAAGCTGCGTGGATGCTTGGGGAAAGAAGCGGTCATGAATGGCTGAATCATAAGCAACTGAGCCTCTGTTTCGCTTCGGTTCTAAGGTCAGCATTTAGGCCGTAAGTGGACGCAAAAGAGGTCAGCAGCTGTTGCGTAACCTGTTCACCACTGTTTGTGATAAGGGTGTCGTGGACAAGATATTTGAAGCTGTTCGCAAAACCTTCATCACAACCCTAAACCCCAAATAGTCTCTCTTCTCCAATAACCGAGCCCAAACAAGTTCAAGCATTCTCAGATAGCCCAATATAGAAGGCAAAGAGTGTAAAGTTCTCCATCTGGCTAAGTCGTAGCTCTGAGAACACCTTATAAACCCTGCCGAGAACCGACTCTAGGAACCCGGTAGGAAGAACCTCTTTGGAACCCAGTAAACGGCCGTGAATACATAGGGAACCCTTCAAGGAAGCTTCATAGGAAGCCGTACAGCAACGACTTTCGGAAGCTTCGACACCCTAAACCCTAAACTCTAAACCCTCAACCCTCACAAACCCCAAACTTTAAACCCTAAACCCTCAACCCAAAAAATCCCTAAACTCTATAACCCGAAACCCTGAAGCCTCAATGCTGAACCCCTGGACCTTCAGAAGCTGTCTAACCACTGGCGCCTGTGGGGGCGGTTTCGGGCCAGGCGTTTTGGGCTTACCTCAACACCAAATAACCTACCTTTTTAGGGCGTTATATAAAGAAATCTTATTAGGGGGCCCTAAACAGGTAGGTTCGTCAGGGCCCAGGTAGGGCTTACGAAGCGTATTTAGGGTTTAGGGTGCGCTGGCGGGGTTTGGGGTTTAGTGGTGGGGTTTTGGGCTTGGGTTTTCTAGTCCGGTTCAGGGTTGAAGCAGTGGGGAGGTGCTGAGTTTGCAGGGGTGGTGTGAACTTTAGGTGGATTCTAGGGTTTTGGGGCCCCAAATGGAGAACGGCTTAGTTAGTCTTTAGCCAGGATGTTATGTCAGAGTGGGCACAGGAGCTTGACGAATACCCCAAATTCAAAAGGATCAGCAGACCCTAAACTCCAAACCCCCGAACCCCGAGACCCAGACCCCTAAACCCTCAAACCTAAGCCCCAAAATCCTGAAGCTTGGGGGAGCTCCCGGAAGAACTGGATGCCGCGTAATGCAAGAGCCGGAATAATTGGGGTTTTGGCTCCTTTATAGTAGAACTATAAACCCTAAGGAAAATATGGGTGAATATTCAGTTGTCTATCTTCATTTGTGTGGTGTTTCAATGGTCCTGTGCCGGAGAATCTATAGCACTGGGGGGACCGAATGCCATCGGGGGAATACCTTAAACTAACGAAACCTACTGTTTTGTGGGGGTCCCTTTCAATTCCGAATTAGGGTATATGTTAACAACCAACAAAAAAATAGGTTATGGTAGCTTACCGAGTCGATTTCGGATCTTATGAGGGCTTTAGGCTTTGCTCGATCGATCATGGGACTTAGTAAGTAAGTTATAATTGGGGTTATAAGCCCCCCAAGTGGGGATATCCTATTTATACCCTCTTATAACCTTACTTACTATGTCCCATGAGCTTTTAAGTAGACCTTCAACCACTAAACGCCATACCCTGAAACCCTAAATCACAAAAACAAGACCCTACCCCAAACCTCAAGGCCCTACGGTGACCGTACGAAGAATACCAGCATTTGTAGGAAGTCTGGGCCATTCTGCCCTAAGCTGCAAGATCTAAACCCAAAACCGCTACATTTCCTAAGACCCTAAATGCTGAATGCCCCAAACGCCCTGAACCTCAAATCCCATCGGGCGCAAAGCCAACTACGAATTCCAGGGCCCTTTTTGGACACATAGAAACCCGTAAGTAAACCGTCTTCTAATCTTAACACGCTACATGTATTACGGAATGTGATATCCTAAATTCAGAAACCTTAAACCCTAAACCTTACACCCGGAACCTGAGACCCTAATCCCTAAACCCCAAACCTCAAACCCTACGTGCATTACGGCTTTAAGTATGAACTGCTAAATCCCTAAACTCGAAACCCGAATTCCTAAATCCTAAAAACGCTAAACTTTCCGAAACCTTAGACCCTAATTCCAAGACCCCAAACCATGAATTCCAGAACCCGCCTGGTTGGCGGCGGCGGCCAGAAAAAGGGGCGGATACCCAGCCGAAGCTTCGTCTACCCAGGCGCTGGCCTTTTCGGGGGATTAGGGTTTATAGTTTTTGTTTAGGGTTCAGATACTGCGCTTTGTGCTGGCCTTTTCGGGGGTTTAGGGTTTAGGGTTTATGGAAATTGTTTAGGGTTCAGGTCCTGAGTTTTGTGCGGTTTTGGGTGGGTTTTGACCAGGTTTCGCGTTTTGCGGGGCCTTTCGAGGAGATCGGACCTGCTAAACACTGTCTATTTATCCTAGGATTGAAAGTTTAGAGTTTAGGGTTTAGGTTTCCGGTGGATGGTTTAGTGCCGGGTTGATTGACAAAGTGGGATTGTAGGGATGTAAGCGACCTGGAGGGGCATCTTTGTAGCACTCCCTGCAGTAAGGGGAATTCAGGGTTTCTCGGGGAGAGGAAAAGCAGGAGCTGCGGTGTTCAGAACCGCCTGGAACTCTGCTGTCGTCTCTGGGGCTCTGTGATGTGAGGGTGTGCGGTTCAGGGCTTGGGGTTGTTTAAGCCCTTCGTAAGTTAGGGTTATAGGTGACTGGGTTCTTATTAAGGGATTTAAGTCAAACTACCATATTAAGGAACCGTACTATGTACTATAAGTAGATCCCTATTATGCCCTAAACCCTAAACCGTATGATAACTTAAATTGAATCCCTCAACGTAACAAGAACCCAGGTGAGAGTCCCTATGCATGCGAAGGGCCCGTGAATCTGCGAGTTTCGGCGATCTGGAAAGTCAGGGAAGTCTTCCATCGTCTGAAGCTGACCAATAGCGGATCATGGGGCTTGGTAACGAGGGTTCCTCGAGGCTTTCTTTAAGGGACCTGTTAGGGTTGATGTAAGGATTCTATAAGGGTTTCGGGGGTACTCAGAGGATCATGCGACATAGCAACTAGTTTTATAAGCAAGGCAACTCTAGTGATAACTACTTATAACCTCGATTAAGGTACTTATTAACCTTACTTACTAAATCTCATGATCCTCCAAGTATGGATCTGTGATTGAGGCATATGTATGGATCTGTGATTGAGGCAAGCCACTCTTGTACAGTTTGGCTTCTTGTTCGGAGTCCGTTTCTGCAGGCTTTGGGGTTTACCCAAGGTTTGGGGTTTATGTAGACTGTCTCTACCCTAAACCCTAAACCCTAGAAACCCAAAGACCCCCCAAACTTCCACACCAGAGGCCCGCGTCCAGCCTTGAGGAGAATACGCACGACCTCTTGGTGGCCTTCAGCACCCGTACTTAAAGGATCATGGGACTTAGTAACTAGGGTTATAAGTAAGGTAACTATACTTATAACCCCAATGAAGGTACTTATAACCTTACTTACTAAGTCCCATGACCCTCCAAGTAGGGCCACGGATTTTTGGGCTTCACCACACGGCTTTAGGGTTTAGGGGCTTATGGGGTTTAGGGGTTTACGGGTTCTGGGTTTAGGGGTTTAGGGGGTTTAGGGTTTTGGGTTTAGGGGGCTTGCTCACCTTCCCATACTGAGGATTTTCACCGGGATGCGAAAGAAAAGCCTTGAGAAAGTCGTGCAAAGAAATAACCAGAAACCCAGCTCGTTGCAGAGGATCGAGAAACACAAATGCGCAACGATTTACGCCGACAACTTGCAATCCGACACCTGACACCCCGAAGCAACAAACCCCCAAGAACGTAACCACAAACACCCCAATTCTGAAGCTTCAAACCTATGCCAGCAAATCCTAGTTAGACTTTTATAAACTCGGATCCGACGCAATACATGGGCCGCAATAATTGGGAAAAGGCTTTGGGTTACTATACTATGGTATACATGTCAGTAGTTATGGACCGACTAGATGGGAACGACTGTGTGGACCTCATGTCATGTCATATAGGCCTTAACGATTAGAATAGGGCAATAGTAGAGGTAATTATCAAGGCCCCTATAGTAACGCACCCAGCCTTGTCTCGATGCTATTGCCAGCGGCGTGCCATTGACGAGGCCCAAATTCCTAGCTCCGGAAGGATTTTGTTTTTGTTGCTTCTGCTTGTTCTTGCATCTGGTTTTTCTTGAAGGAGTCTTTGGGGGGGCGAAGAGGCTTAAGTTTGGGGGTTCAGGGTTTAGCAATAAGCAGGATGTCATAGTCTAGCAACCTTTTTTGAGGGTCTAGGCTTTCAGGTCGAATTAACCCCACCTGCACGCTGTGGGTCCCCCGCAAATGCACCATTGTTGAAAATTCAAAGCCTTTGCACTCCAGAAACACTATATCCTAGCTAAAGCCCAATGCATCTCTTAGATTGTTTCTAGCTTAAATTGTGGGAATTAAAGTATAGGTTGGGCACTGCCCCCCATACTGTGACAGTCTATAATGAAGCTACTATTAAGGTCCTACTATGCCTATATTCTGAATCGTATTCAACTGTTACTGAGTGGGGGCAGTACCCAAAGTTTAGGTTTTAGATTCAGATCCTTACCCCCGAGAACTCCCTTCACCTCTCTAGTAAAGCTCGACAGCCCAATGTAAAAAATGAATAAATCCCAAACTCCTAGATTCTGAGTGCACTCTGCACCCTAAATGCGTAGAACCGTGTAGAACCTTATAAGAATCAGCAAGAACCGAGAACCCTGCCAACAACCGTTTGGAACTCTCAAAGGAACCCTGCCCTCACCTGAACCCAAACCTAGGGGTCCAACTTCCCAATAATCGTCAACATACACATAACTACGATCTTGCGCCCAGGTAACCTTGGGTCCTTCCAACCAAGTGCAGTCAATAGAGCCCCTATGGTCATCAAAAGTGGGTATTGAGGGTATATTAGAGGGTAGTTGGGGTGTCTATATAGTACCTATAGACATCAGACTGTAGTACCTACCTTGTCTGCACAACTGATGCTTCTGATTAGGATCCTAAGTCCTGTAGGACTTAATACCTCGGGACAGAACATAAGGGCACTATACTCCTAAATACTTACTATTTCAGCTGCTTACTACGTCCTATGACCCCCAAGTAGATCCCTAAACCCTAAACCCAAAACTGTTAAACTTCCCAAACCCTCAGATCCCATTAAGGCCCCCGTGACCCTCCAGAGTTGACCCTCCAGATATGTTTGGACCCTTGAGCCGCGAACCCAACACCCTACAAGGCCAAAAAGCCCTAAACCCAAGGCCCAAAACCCTGCCCTAAACCCTAAACCCTACACCTAAACCTTAAACCCTAAACCCCTAAATCCTAAAACCTTAAACCAGGGTTTTGGAGATTCTACTCGTGCCCAGGCGCTTGTTCGCCCCCGCCTCGAGCAGGAGACGGACCATCTCCTGGGCTTCGATCCCTTTTTGGATTTAGGGGTTTGGGGTTTCGGGTTTTTGGATTTAGGGGTTTGGGGTTTCTAGGGGTTTAGGGTTTCGGGTTTGGGTTTAATAGGAGTTTGGGGTTTCGGGATTCAGGCTTATATAGAGTTTTGGTTTTAAGGTTTTGTTTTTTGGAGCACCTTTTTCACCAGATAGGCCAGGGGTTGATGGGTTGAGGGTTTCGGGTTTTAGGGTTATAGGGTTTTGGGTTCTAGGGTTTACGGGCTTAGGGTTTCGGGATTCAAGGTTATTGGGTTTCGGGTTCTAGGGTTTAGGATTCTAGGCTAATTATCGGGTTTAGGGTGCTAGGGTTTAGGGTTGTAGCGTTTAGGGTTAGAGGGTTTTGGGTTATAGGGTTACAGGGTTTAGGGGTTGAGGCTCAAGGGTTTAGTCAATCCTGTCAACCCAGACGTCTCTTCTGATAGTCTGTCCTCATATGCATTAATTATGCTATATTACGTTGTATTGTATTACATCATGATATCCTGGTCTGGGCCATAAGGGTACCAAGATCTTGTTTGTCAGCCGCCAGCAGCGCAATCAAGAAGACGCCAGGGGCGAAAGCTAAAGCAGCCCTGAAACATATCATGCACATGTATAAACACAAATATATATATATATATATATATATACAGACGGACAGACAGACAGGTGCAGGCAGGCAGGCTGACAAACAGACGGACAGACAAACAGACCGACGAACGGACAGATATACAGACAAACTGACATGAACCATCATGAACTTCACTCATGCTATGTCGTCCGCGACACCCCCAAACCCCTGCACCTGAGACCCATCGCCGTTCACCTCTACACCCTGACACTGAGATGCTGAGTTCCCAAAGCCTTCGAAATGCAAACCCCCTCCCCAAAAAAAGAATACCTAGGCCCACCAAACTCTCGAACTCAAAGTTAGGATGCAGGACACGCGTCCACATGGCCCAAGCGACACGCTTCGAGCAGTGGGGTAGCGACACCTGGTTAAGGGTTCCTTTAAGGGGGTGCTATAGGGGATTAAGTGCTTTGGAGTTTAAGGGTTTATGCGGCTTGGGCTGGGTTTGGGGCTAGTAGGGTTTAGGTTTTAGAGTCTAGACGAGTCTAGACCATAAGGTAGCTGCATAATGTCAAGGATGATTGTCAACACGATGTAACCGTGGCACTTCAATGCTACCGAGAATTGCAGTTGCAAATGTCTTAATGCAGGTGCATGCCGTTTGCCCTCAAATCCTGAATCCTTCGTCGTTCATGTGGATTCTCGGCAAAACAGACATCGATCTTACGACCTCATTCTTGAAGGCTGAACGGACCCCAGCTGACGTTCGTTGCACGAAAAACTGCAGGTTTCTCACTCAGCTTTCCACCTACCTTCATCCTACCTTTGGAGGCTAAGAAATCCTCAATCCCCGCTTCAAGTCTTGACTTTCAACCGTACGACCCTAAGCATCCAGGCTTTAGTTGTTGTCCAACTTTGAAGCACCCTGGGAACCCCAACCTGTCGCATCTCTTTCGTGGCAGCGGCTAAGCCCTAAACCCTAAACCTAAGCCTTTCGTTTCTCTAGCTTGGTGACAGCCCAGGTATTTCCCGCAGGGGACCCATGAACCCTGGACACTTAACGCATAGAAAAGAGCATCCACACCCTAAACCCCTAAACCCTCAAGTCAACAAACGCAAGACCCTGAGCCCCAAGCTTCTGCCCGAAAACCTGCCGATACCCCGTGAAAGAAGCACCCGCCAGTGGCCTGACTTCTCAACTTTGTCTGGGTTTTGTGGCAGCTGAAGCATCCGCTCGGCTTCGTCCACCTCGAGAGGGTTTAGCCGTTTAATGTCTTCGGGGTTAAGGGTGCCGGGGTATTTGTCGGGAGAGGGGTTAGGGGTTCGGGTTTCAGGATGTCAAACGTACCCCCACATCCAACTCAAATTATCAACGTCCCTATCAGAATAGTAAAACCGTGTCATGTTCCTGTTCAGCACCCTCTGCCCTACACTATACTATCATTCAAAGATTCGAAGGCCATTCTTTTATAGGGCTCATGTACTATAGGAGCCTTGATAGTTGTCTTTTACGCTCCCCGCCTGCCCCTTGGCCGCCACCTCCACGAAAGTGTCCACTTCCTTCTGGCTGGCCTCGAAAAGGGCGTGTCAGGTCTCGAGTTGGGGATTTTTCGCAGAGAGCCCAATGTCCCTTAATTAAGGAATATACCTAAGGTTCCTTTAAGGGATCCTTTATAAGGGACCTATAGGGTTTAGGGTTTAGGGGATTCTAAGATCCCTTAATTAAGCAATATACCTTAAACTATAAGGAGGTTCAATTGATGATTTAAGCTATGTTCCTTAATTAAGGGGTATTGGGCTCTTTGGGTCAGGAACTTCAGGTTTTAGGATTCCTCTAAGGGTACCGTAAGGGTCACATTAGTATTGAACATGTAAAATGAGGGCTTAGGGGTTTAAGGCTTCTAGGGCGTGAGGTTCAGGGATGACTGGACGGCTTTGGGTTCAAGGTGTGCAGGGAACGGTGGTAACATGACAGGGAAGTCCCCCGAGGTCTTCCTGCCAACAGGTTGTGACAGCAACGTCTCAGTTTACCCGATATGTTCGCTTCACGTGCTTTTGGATTGTTGGCAGCTTCCGAATCCAAACCAAAAGCCAATGTAACACCATAAAACCTGACAAGCAGATGCCTTGTTGTAGCAATAGAACCCTGCTTTCCAAAAACTATGCGAAATTAGCATAAACAGCCCTTCCAAATAGAATGCCAGAAACCTGTTTTAACAACCCTTCTTACAAGCCTTAATGGAAGTAACCCTTAAAGGAGCCCTAAAACCCTAAAGCCAAAACCCTCAACCCAAACCCCTTAACCCAAAATCCAAACTCCTTATAGAACCCTTCTTAGAGGCCTTGATGAAGGGAAGGAGGACCAGCTGCAGCTTGCTGATGGACTCCAGACTGCCAGGGCTCACAAAGTTTGGGGTTCCTCTAAAAGGTTTACTTGGAGGGGCCGGGGACTTAGTAAGTAGGTTATAAGTAGAGTCATAAGCACCCTAAACGGAGTTACCCCAATTATAACCCTACTTATACCCTACTTACTAAGCCCCCTGCCCCTCGAGGTAGGATTTAAGGTTCATCTTGAGGTTGCTGCACCCATTTTTGGGTTCCCTCAAGAGGTGTTTTGGGGTTGCTTTAAATAAGAAGGGCTTAGGTTACGAGTTCCCTTTTGGGTTTCCTTAAGAAGGGGTGTAGGGTACGGCATAGTGTTCAGGGTTTGGGGTTTGGGGCAGTTCAGGCTTCGGCCGTTCAGGGCTCATATGACCAATACTCCGTACGATTTTTTAGGGCAGCGTGGGCTTATAGGGTTTATGGCAGGTCCGGGTTCGATGCTAGTTGGCTGCTGTTCCAAGCTGTCAGCCCCGACAGCACAATGCCAATTTATGTCTTTGTCGGGGCCTTCCACTACTTGGAGGGGCAGGGGACTTAGTAAGTAGGTTATAAGTAGGGTTATAAGTGGGATAACCCCATTTAGGGTGCTTATAGCTCTACTTATAGCCTACTTACTAAGTCCCCTGCCCCTCCAAGTAGGCTTAATAGTAGGGGTGCAGTTTTACTACGGGAAGCCTACGATAACATGGCCAAGGATCCCACATCTGATGCCTTGATCCGCACCGCCAGGCAAAAGCCCACACAGTCGGACATGTGGACACTTACTATTTTGGAAGACCCTGGCACCCCTAAACCCTAAGCTCCTAACCCATAAACCTGATAGTACCCTTACCGGAACCCTGAACCTCTGGCGTTGATCTACTCCTGGGGCAGCCTTGCATCGTCTTTCAGGACGTCGCCCTTCCGGGTCAGCCGCTGCCTGCACGGCTTCGCCAGGCAACGAATTACGGCTTGGAGGATCTAGAATTTACGGGTGAAGGGTTTCGGGTTTAGGTCTTTTTGGGTGTGAAGGGCTGAATGTTTGAGGATGAAAGGTTTGGGGGTTTAGGGGTTGAGGGTTGTGGGCTGAACAACTAGCCAGGCAACAGGTATAGGTTCGCTCAGAATCCGGGTTCCTCACAAGGGTTCCAAATTTATGATGAGGGTTTAGTATACGGTCCTGAGGAAGAAGGTGTTGTGGCATGTTGTCTATAAGTATCATGAGGAACCCTGAGGAATCGCATGTTGTCTATCCTGAGGAACGCTGAGGCATCGTATTTGTTGCTCCGGCCCCTTTTTCAATTGCAGCTGAGGGTGCTGGCGGGTTCAGGCTTTGAGGGTTTCAGGTCTTTGGCGCGGTTGTTTGCAGGGCTAAGGGCTCTTGGGGCACCTTGAACCGGCTGTTGGGCTGAGGCAGACACGATACAGGGTCGGACTCTATGCATTTCTGGCCGCAGGGTTATTCGAACCTAACACCAGATTAAAAAACACTCACATCCCCCTGAAGTCTTGTTCACACTACCTAGCAAGCCGCAAACCCTGTTTTGGGGTGTATATATGCTGTTATATAAACTCCCCATCTAGATCTTCAAATTATATACAGCGCCCTGGCAAACCTTTGTTTGAAGTTCTTAAAGGATCATGGGGCTTAGTAACTAGGGCTATAAGTAAGGTAACTATACATATAACCCCAACTAAGGTACTTATAATCTTACGGTACTTACTATTCCCATGATCCTCCAAGTTCCCTATCCCCACGAAGCCAAACTCCACGGGGCGGTCCTGAATCTCGGCACCTTGCAGAGCGGCTCCAGGTGCTTCTTCAGAGCCCGGGCGTCCTGAGGCGAAGTTGGGGCAGTTTGCCCTTTGGGTTAGGGTTTAGGGGTTAGGGTTTCGGGTTTAGGGTTTGCTTGAAAAAGTTGATGGCACCGGACCGTTACGGGCTTCAGTTCTCGACTCCAAACTCCAGAGTGACCTGTGGCATTCGGGTCTCAGGATGTTTCCCAGGCATTCACACCGGTTTAGGGTATATACAGTTTTATCATAGAATGATAGGGTTCACTGTGCCAGTTTCGTTATGACGACCTGTGCTATGCAGGTGTTGGAGAGCGGAAAAGGTTGCAGCACATAAAGAAATGAGAGGAATATGCCTCGAGTTTCTTATTCTACCAGGTGCCTGGTGTTATGGGGGGATTTTTTCCGAACGCCCGAACACAGTGAACAGCGCATTATTTTGTTGGGGTTTAGGCCTGTAGGAAATTCATTCTATAATGTAGGGCCCTCATCGACCACCAACGATGTTTATGATACCCTTAAAGGAACCAAACCGTGTTACTTACTTAGTCATGTATTTATACATTTATTCATGTATTTATGTGTGTGTAAACACCTGGAGGGTCCTCAAAATCCTCCGGATTCACTGCGGCGATTTCTTGCCTGGGAGCTCAGCGAGCTAAGGCCAAAGAAGCCAGTTTAGAGTATACACAGTTTAGGGTTCAGGGCTTCCGGTTCAAGGCTTAGGCTTCAGGGTTTAGGGTTCAGTGTTTAAAGCTTGAGGTTCAGGGTTTAGGGTACATGCGGTTCAGGGTTTAAGGCTAATAGGAAGGTTTCTAGGCTTGGGCTTGAGGTGTAGAATAAGGCTCCGAAGCACTGGGCGTGGGTTTGCGGTTTAAAGCCTTGAGCTTTAGGCCCTGGGTTCGGTGGAACGGGAATTGATATCTTCTTGACCAACGGGTTTAGGGGTTTAGGGTTTGGGGGTTTAGGGGCATGGTTCAGGGGTTTAGGGTTTCCCAGCTTCTTGATGGGAATGTGAGCCGTTGCGACTTGGCAAACTCACACTCAAAGAAACCTGAGCATCGAACATTAATAACAAGATGCGCAATCGCTAAACTTCAGGCTCGTTCAACCCCCCCATCCTTCAGGTTCTTGGCAGGCTTGTTTGGTCACAGTTTGAATGGGTATTCATGATGTAGGCGTCTGAATACTTTCCTGCATTTTCTGCACCAGTCTTAGCATGGGCCCAGTTGCCCAGAGACCGTCCATATCCGCAGTGACCCGCCGGTCGTGGCGACAGACGCAGCTTTTTTCGGCATGGCTGCTGTGGCCCCAGGATCTAAAGGTAGTTTATGGTATGCTTAGACATGAGCTTTCGAAGACTGTCGATGAAAGAATGAACTGCAGGATACAGGGTCTAAGCAGTGGCTTCCGGCCTCTGACCAAATACGGAACCGCTGCTATACGCTATAGGGGTGGGGTTTGAAGGGTGGCAGCGCAGCTTGCAAGCTCAACCAGTGCACAATCCGAGCCGCCTTAAGCACTGTTTTGCCGAATGTCCTTGTTACTCCAATACCGCTGTTGATGAAGAAGGCGAGGGGTGGGTCATGAAGCTTTGAAGCTGCAGCGGCTTCGCGTGTCATGGTGTCAAACATGCTGCTGTGCTACGACCGAAGCCAGAGACGGTGGTTCCGGAGGAGATTGTACTCTCGTGACCCTGATGCAGTAATATAAGGGCCTTAAGAATTAGAATAGGGTTTTAGGGCCCAGTATACTATAGATAATAAGGAGCCCCATTATTGCGGCCCCTAAATTACACCTCCTGGAAGTGAGAGCTTTGAGGCCGATTCGGGTGACAACGACCCAAACTCTTGGAGGGTTCTGCCTGACAACGAGAGCTTGGATTCTTGCTGAGAAAGGCCTCACGTCACTGCGGGTATTGCCAAATCTCGCAACCCTAGTCCGACTAACCCAAGCCCTTAAACCATAAACCGGAAAAACCTTCGCAGCCACGCGCTAGAAGTGTAGCCTCGGGTGTGCGAAAGGCTCTTCGGAGTCTTTGCTTCGGAGTCGCAGAGTTCAGGTCGGGCTCCGAGGCACAGCTTTGGCGCCAAGGGCCATCTCGCTGAGAATATTCAATATTCAAAACGAGACAAGTCCCTCTGCAGTGGGCGCTGGAGGCAATGAGCACAAGAGAATGTGGGCTACATGTATAGATGTAGAGGACAACTGGAACACATCTCTTGAGATTAGGATCCTTTCCGGACTGGTGCTCTGAAGTGAATGACTTTATGAGAACCATATCCGTCGTTGCTGCTTATGGCTTCAGCGCCTTCGTGTAACCACTTCGCTCAAAAAGCGAAAGGCATTCTACACTGTGAAGAACTTGCGGGCGTCCTTCGAAAGAAAACGCTCGCGTGACCAAAGGTTGTTGGAAGGTAGGCAGTCCTCGTATAAAGACAAGCTACTGCTGCATGGAGGAAGACCCTTACAACGAAGTGCCCAAACAGAGTCCAGCGAACTCGAAGAAGGACAGATTCATCTTCAAGCGCCGCACGATCACATATGCTGGATTGCTCTGAACCAGGCATCACAGATCTCCTGTGCAACTCTCGCCGGGTCCGACATGTCTTCGTCGAAGATCCGCACCAAATCGCGCTTAAGCACCAAAACATTTTGTGCCCGGCCTTCCTCATCTTTGGGGCAGGGTGGAAACTCACGGCAAAGCTGGATCGGCAGAATAGCAAGCTTGTTCTGGTGCGCATACTCGAGCTCTTTATAAGTTTCATACTGCGCACCAGTTTTCGCTCCATAATCCCAAGTGCAAAAAGCCAACAGGGCTTTGGCCCTGTACAGGAGAAGCGCCGTCTGGTTCCCGAACTCGGCACTAGCAAAGTCGGCCTTCACCATATCCACGGGTACAAACTGCTCACAAAGGGCTTCTTTGATCTGCCTCATGTAGTTAATTTTGTGCTGGTCGTTGAACCGCCCAGAGATCATCAAGTTTCTTCGTTGCGAGGATTCAGGTGGAGCCGGTGGGGGAGGGGGATCAGTCGAGGTGTCCGTTTGATGCTCTTCAGCTGGAGGCGGTGGAGGTGGTGGAGGAGGCGGTAAAACCTGTCAAGGCGATAGCTGAGTGCAGACTCATGCGGTGTAGGGTTGTCCGGGATTTTGAGCACTGTCTGACTGGGCTCTCAGTAACTTAGCAAATTCAACGCTGAGTTGCATCTCATTCATACAGGGGACCTCAACACGAAGTCCGAAACCTCTAGACCCGTTCAGCCCCAATTGATAGCGCTGACGACATCAGACCGCAGAATATTAAGGTTTAAAGCGCAAAATACGACCCACTAAACCGCACAGGCACTAAGGAGAGCCCCGCGCCTGCACAAGTAGGCTGCCGTCCTCGGCACTGTCGGCACGAGCCTCAGCCGCCGTTCAGATCCGAGAAGTTTGCAGTAGAGTTGGGGTCTAAGGGGTTCAGGGGTTTAGGGTTTCGGGTTGACGGCTTTGGAGTCTAACGGTTCAAGAGTATGGGTTTTAATTCAAGCATTCTGGAGTTTACGGGTTCAGGGGTTTAGCGTCGCAGAGTTTTGCAGTCTGAGGGGTTCAAAGGTTTCGGGTTCTGGCATGTAAGGGTTCAAGGGTTCAAGCATGAGCGTTTCAGCATACAGTGTTTTCGCGCCGTGGTCGAAGGAAGGTTGACGGTTTAGGCATCCTAGAGCTGTGACTTAGTTTGCGGTTGGTTCAGTGGTCCCTTGGATGAAATGCTCGGCAACTTACACATGGGTATCCGGTCTTTTTGAATCTCGATGATTCTCTCTCAGGTTTATACAGGGCATGGTAGCGTTTGATAGGGCGTCTGGCCTCTAAACCCTGAACCCGAACACCCTGAACTCCAGACTTCTATCTATATTTCAAGAGCACAGAAGGCCAAGCACAATGCCACAAACCGCAAAATCCCTAAACTCTAAACCACATGATGAGTGCCATCTAAGTTTGTAGAGCCAACGAGTTCCCCAAAATGGATGCAAACTTGTGAGCTGCAAAGCGGCTCGCTGCATGAGCTGCTCAATGGGCAGGCGGCCAGCTTGCAGCTCACCTTCAGGGAGAAGTTTTCGAAAATACGGGGTACCTTATTTTGGGGTCCTTGTAGTAAGGATCCTACTATTTAGGGTGCTAAAAAAGGGGCTCCTATTTTCGGAAACCTTCATTCAGGGAGATGATTAAGGGGTTTATAGGTGTTAGGGAGATGATTTCGGGGGTTTTGTCGTGTTTTAAAGTGCTACAGTAGGGGTTTAGGTTTTGGGAGATTTTTTAGGGCTTGGGGGTTTAGGGGTTCGGGGAGGACTGCAGGTCTTTACTAAGAGTGTTTTACAGTTTTACAGGGTTATTCTGTAAAACGATCTTTCAGGTTTCAAGGGTTCAGATTGAGGTACATGATCATGTCCACCGGAGGCGCGCCTGTGCTCAAAAAGCTGTGAGGCTCCTCTGCCGTGTAGACCTCTCAAGACTACGTGGAAGACACATCGCAACCGCGACAGCAACCGTTTCCAATGTGGGCTCTGTAGTGTTCGTGCCTAGCGAGAAGGGCTGGAACCTTCAACACTACAGGCATTAGAATTCACTCCCCGAACAGCATGCCCTAAACCCTATAAGCCCCATAAACCTTCAAACCCAAACACCCTAGTGGCCCTATAAACCCTAAACCCCGATGTCCGCGGTGAGGCCAAGATCCAGCCTCCACTTCGCAATGTTCAGGCAGAATCAGATGCCTAGGTTTGCGGGAGAAGGAACTTATCTCTATGGATGTGTGCATGTGCGAACGAGTGAATGCATAACTGAACGAATTGAATAATTGACTGAATGGATCACTGAATGAATAAATTCCTAGTGTGTTTTTTGGGTATTGTCATGAGGTTTGTTTATGTGTATATACACGTAAACAGATAGATGGGATAGATGGATAGATACATAGATGGATAGACTGATAGATAGATAGGGCTGACGGAATAGTAGGTGGAAGGAGCACCGACTCAAAGTGCGAGTAGCTGGGCTCCTAGCGTTCTCTGCATGTGAAGCGGCGGAGACAAGTGCGCGTCTGCGGAAAAACAGTGCGAGCTGGCGGTGCGCAACTACTAAGGGCAGGTGTTCATACAAACCAAAGACGAACAATCGCCGCTAGTTTCGCTGGACATGTTCAAGATCGATTCGAAGTCTGCCCGAGGGGCATGCTGGAAGCTGTCCCATCTTCTTGTCCATGCGGCGAAGGTGGCGGCGGAGGTATCCCATATCCCCCCGCTTGTGGCGGTGGCGGCGGCAGTGGTGCGGGTGGAGGCAGGTTCGCTGGCGCAGTCGGGACAGCATCACATAATCCTCGGCGACGGAAAATATACTTGTTTAATACATTTCCCGAAATGACTATGCTCTGCTCGGAAACAATCTAGACTTCTGCTGCTTCTCGTCAAGAGGCGAAAGGCATGCAACGAGTCAGCAATGTCCACCTCGAACTGGGTTCCTCGAGCTTCAAAGAAGCGGCTGGTGACGAGAGGAAGCCTGTGGAAACTTAAGGTAATATGCTGATGATCATTCTCAGCCTGGGCTATGGTGAGTTTGTCTCCATGGCTGTATAAGCCTGCGCAAAAAGGCGGCCCACACTCGTCGAAACCCCTCAAGACCTCGGGGTCTACGCGGTAGTCAGACGTCGGCTGCAGCTGCTGGGTACAAGAGGGACAGTTTGTGTGCAAAACTGCACATTTTCCCCTCCTTGTGGTTCCATCCATGAAGCCACGGACAAGCATTCCCCGCGGTCTTGGGGAGCAGGTACCATCAGTTCCCACAAAGAGCTCGCAAAAATGATCCAGCCACAGCACGGCATGTCCTGGATAGAACATCGCATCCGGAAGAGACTCCCAACCGCCATCCGACGATGAACGCCAGACTGCCTCAGCACCCGAGCAGACCCGGATGATAAGAAGTACAGGCCCCTCTTCGAAGCGAGTCTCGTGCGGCAGCAACTTCAAGATAGGGCTCAAAGGACATACGTTCGCCGGCAGCTTTGGGCATTCCTCCAACTCACTAATCTCGAATCTGGCGCGGGAATACCTCCTTGAGATCATCACCACTCCGTGCCGAATCTGTGCGAAGTCACGCTGGCCCAGTCTGACAGCCAACCCATCCACCTCGAGCTTATTGCAAGGAGTTCGCACACATTCCTGATTCAGTGGCTATGGGGCTTCCTTGTCACGCATACTCTCATTCCAAAGCACAGGCCCCACGACGGTATAGATTCCATAAGCTTATACCGTACACAGAGGGT